ACTTCTCCGACCCGTGGGAGTGGGGAACTTCATCTTGAGGTGATAAATGGAAGTGACAGCCTGAAGGTTCTCAACAGAGGTCGCCCCAAGATTCCATAAAGGCCGACGGGCAGTCCACGACCAAAAATTCAGTAACCCTAGTCACCTCGTCGTAGTCGCCGAGCGTGAATGGTAGCTGGATCGTCCCTTTGGGGATGGGTGATCCCCTTGTAAAACCGTACAGAGGCATCGAGGCTGGCTTCAGGTCGGCCTCGACTAGGGTCATTCTACGAAAGCTGACTTGAACAGGATGTTCAAAGCGCTTCGTTATCACAGCATTCTGCAGACTTATGACAGCCTATCAGGGGCGTGATCACCAAAGCATCCTCAGAGGATGGTGCAAGCGAGTGCCTCCTTCTCGCAGAAGTGATGGTTCCTCTTTCTGGCTTTTTGAGGTCGCTGCGAAGTGTTCATTACCTGATCGGGTCGTGATACGCTTGCAAGCATACCTTTCCTGCGCTCCTCCAGTGCTTCCAGCGAGGTGCGGACCTCCGAAAATTAGGTTCACATTGCTGTACCCGCTGTGATCACGACGTTTTTCTTTTGCTCCCCTTGGTTTTCTTTGGGGAGTCATCAATGTACTCTTGAAGTGCCCTTCTTGATGAGCTCTTCGATAGCCTGCTTTAGAGCTCGGCATTCATCAGTGTGATGCCCGTTATCCCGATGGTAACGACAGTATTTTTTGCTGTTTCTGGCCGTAGCAGGAGTTTTCATTGGTTCGGGTCACCGAGCAAGCTGGCCTCCTCAGATTTGTCGAGGATTGCAGATATGGACACGTTCACGGAGTATATTGAGTCTCGCGTGGTCAAGATGAGGAACAAGAGCATAGGATTTTTTCTGTTCGTAGCGGGGTTTCTTCCCTTTTCGCTGATCGTCAATGTCCTTTGCGATCAACTCTCCTATTATCTCCCGACCCGACATACTGCTGGAAGTGCGTGATGTGACGGCGGAGTGTGCCAATGAATTCTCTATTCGGAGATACTTTTCTGCCAGGTTGTAGAATCTGGTGAGGGAATATCGTCTTCAGCTGCAGTTCTTTCCACAGGTCAGTTACGGGCGAACTCAGCTATTATAGTGTTCGGATGGACTCTTCTGGAGCGTGGGCCACTTATTGAGTTCCTGTGGAATCGGTCAATGTAAGATTGCAGGGATCGTCTCTTTCTTGCCTTATGTTGCTGAGGTAGCTCAAAGGCATCGAAAACTTCCGTTGGCTTGGAAATGCCGCAGGAACGTCGTGCTCATCTGAGGCCACGAACTGATCGATCGTCGGGAGTGACCTTAACCACGCTTGACGTGAGAAGTCAGCGGTACGGCCAAACAACGGCATTTTGCAAGGTCCGAAACCTGGTGGAGCTCCATCAGGTCGTTGAACCATATAAGTGATCCTGAGGATCATAGTTCCAATCAAACGGCCGCATATCTGGCATTCTGAACCCGGTGGAAGTGGAGCAGCTAATACTTCGGGAGAAAAAAGGGGACGCAGAGGCGACCGCGCCTGTGTCGTTTTGCTGCTCCCTCAACCTGTTCAGAGCTCGTGTAGCTCCTCAATTTGTGGTAACGGAGCCAATGGGGATTGCTTTCACCCGTGCGAGTCCGGCCTTCCGATTGTGGTTCAGGAAGGTCGGAGGTCGGATTCCTCCTTGCCTCGGCCGGCATTTCGGCCGTACTCGACACACGCTGACTAGAGGCGTGTGAAGGCGGTGGGATTAGCGGGGCATTTTTACGACCCTCGCGGTGGTACGTACCGCCCGCGAGGTGTGGGAGCCACCCGCTGATAACAATCGGGGTCGTTGCTGGTGGTGATAGGAATCACCGCGCCCGGCATTCTCGCTTGGGTTTGCCTGCGACGTGGCATGGGACAGCCGGGATTCTCTTTCGTCGAGTCTCAGCTTGCCGATACCCTGCTCGGGGCACTTTTGTGTTCGTGCGGTCCTTGGGAGCCGTAGGCTTACTTTTTGCCATTTGCTTACCCTTGGGCCACGCGGCAGTGTCGCGGCACGGGTATGCCCTTTGCACGCTTTCGCGCGACCTGCAGGCGTCTTTGGCGGTTGCACCGCCCTAGCTGTGGTAGATGACATGCCTGGTCCAAACGGTCCAACCTTTGGTTGACCATTGGAGAGTATTGTCGAACCCTTCAAGTAGTTTCTGATGGTAGGGTCAAGTTGTGGAGCTGCCGGGACATCCCCCGCAGCATTTTGTGAAACTGGAACTTCTTCAGTACGTGATTAGCTTGCCCTGGCTCAGATTGGCGGGGCCATTTGCTGTTGTAGGACCAGTAGGTCAAAGATTCTCCTGATGAAGGGTAGACACTAAATCAGCCCTCCTCTAGCGCCAAACTTTGATTCGAGATTTTGGGCACCAACTAATCATACGTGCAACGTTGATCGATCAAAAAGCACACGTGAAAATGAATATATAAAGAGAAATAAATGCTATGAGAACTTTTAAAGTGGTTCGGATGCTAAGGTAGCAAGTCCTACGTCCACTGATTTGTATTGATAGTGAATGTGGGTCAGGTCGCAACAGCGGACTGACTTACAAGAGGTTTAGAAAAAGTAAATGTGTTGTTTACAGGAGAGAGAGAGACTGATTTTTGGTAAAAATGGTTGAATCCCCTTAATGAAGGGGTCTTCCTCTTCTTATATCAAGCTGAAGCGTGTAATCATCATTAAATCCTTGGGTTGGTGTGATTGTCAGGATATAATCCGGCTTTATGTCCCATCACCCTCTTCCCAAGCTGACTTCGCACGGTTTACAGCAGGGAAATGGACGCGTGGGAACTCCATATCGTTTGGCAGGCCTGACGTGTGTTTGTTGTTCTGACGGGAGCAAGTCATTCCCCACGTGACCCTCCCACGTCAGCCCTTACTCTCCCAGGCATAACAGTTACTTTGCGAGATCAGTCTATTATTAGGGTAATGTTATGCGTATTGACGAATTTTACTAATCAATATATTAATTTTTATTAAAATTATATATGATATTCGTATTATGCTTTAAGTTAATACATTGGTTAATAAAATCTGTTAGTACCTAAAGTATTATTGCTATTATTATTGTCAACTAATTTATTCCATTACAAAAAACCTTTTGGAAGTTTATCAAAAATTCCAAATTTTGTTAATCTTGTGACGTGTATGTATGCACTTTCGGTTGCTGATAGATTTGGTAAAATTAATTTGGGCAAATGAACATAAATTTTACTATGGTCCAAATAGAGTAAAAGTTGGAAGAAGTTTCAAGATCTAATTAAAACCTCCAATACATCTCTGTCTCGACTATTAAAAACGAAAAAACGAAAGAAATCCAACTGTCGAATACAGAGTTTAAAGTTTATCTCCAGAGTCAGGATTCCAAAGACAACACCAGCACAAGGAGACAGCTCCTGCTTACAAATTTGATAACTACAAAGAATCGTGTCAAATGAATTTGGAGTGTACGTAAGAGCCGAGCGGTATCCCATAAAAAGGTTAACCTTATACAGTAGAACATCTCTATAATTATAATGTTGGGACCAACTAAATTTATTACTATAAAAAAGTTATAACTTAATAAAGGTGTAGTTACAAGAATTATTATTTTGATTTCTTATTTTATAATTCATGTTTTAGTAATATTAAGATTTCAAAATTCATTGTTTTAGTATTATTAGAATAGTATGGAAATTGATATCAAGGAATCATTACAAAATTGAGTGATCAGATTCGACAACTTCACTACACTAATAAAATGATATTAATGTTTTTCTCAATTATCTAAATAAACAACAAGTCGTGTATGCTTTGACTGAGGAAGAAATCATTATTGAAATTAGACAAGAAGAGGAAAAATATAATCCTGAGGATGGTAGTATGAAAATATCACAAGTTTTATATCAAGAAGCTTTAAATATGTTTGAGAGCTAGAAATATTTTGGCTCAACAAGAAGGTGTCAATGCTAACGATTTATTACATACTTACAAGATAAAATATGTGATAACAACTCTAAAAAATAAATCATTGTCCCAAACAGCTTTAGATAAATATTTTATTTCATCTTCAACCTTTAATATAATATAACATATATTTATTGTAATATAACATGACATATATTTATTATAATATACATGTAATTAATACTATATAGAGACAAGTTTTTAGAAAAATTATAATTTATTACGACGTAAAATTTATTCTTCTTATAACTGATCCAAGTTGATACCAAAATTTTGAATATTACTATAAAGTGGTTATGCTATATACGTATTTCCCCACGAAAAAGATGAGGAAAGAATCTTTCATATTGTTGAAATGTCCATCTCTAGGAAGCACAACATGGTTCCTTCGGTTTGTGCAATATACATCACTATCTAAGCTTTCTAGTTTTGTTTTCCAGCCGTTCAATAAAAGATTCCACATTTTAATCAAATGACGATATCCTCTCTAAGTTATCACCGTCGCTAGATTCTGATTGGTCTTCCCTTCTTTCTCCAAGTATATAAGTTTATATATGCCATCTGATCTCGTTCATTCGTAGCAATGGAAGTAAACTTTCGCCATGAAGATTCCACTTTCGTCCCAGAAATTACAACTCTTATTCTTGTGACCCTAGTAACTCTTTTGGCTGGATGCTGGAGATATAGAGTTTACCCTCAGCTGGGAAGAAAGCTTCCTCCACGAAAACTGGGTTTGCCTATTGTTGGAGAACCTTTAAGCTTCTTCAAGGCACAGAAAAAGAACCTGATTGCTGAATGGATGAAGAAGTGTACCAATGAGTATGGACCAATATTCAAGACCTCGCTCATAGGTTCTAATGCCGTTATTATTACTGGCCAAGCAGGTAACAGATTTATATTCAGTGACAGTGATAGTGGCATTGCACGTAACCAACCAGCTTCTGTAAGAGCCATACTTGGAAACAATAGTATCTTTGAGATTTCTGGGCCTCGATACAAGCTTGTTAAGAGCGCAATTATAAACTTTCTAAGACCTGAAAGCATCTAAAGATATGTATGTGAAATGGATTCACTGATCAAGCAACAATTATTCCTGGTACGTAGTATACAAGAGTCATTAAATTCTGCTGCCTATTTAGAATCCACTAATTTACGCATCTGTTCTTATTTCTTGAAGCCAATTAATCAATTGCTGACAGTTTACATATATATATTGATTTCTACATGTAATTATTATAGGAACTCAATGGTATGGAGTCGGTAAAGGTAGCACCCCAGCTGAAGAAAACTGCATTTAAAGTCACTTGCAGTCTCCTCTACGCATTATCAGAAGGAAAGGAAAAAGATGCATTATTAGAGAATTTTGCAATTGCCCTCAAAGGAATACGGTGCGTCCCTTTGAATTTTCCAGGGACCTTGTATAGAAAATCATTGATTGCTCGAGCTAGGATAAGAAATTTGTTTACTCAGTTAATTGCTAGGAGGAGAAGAGAATTGGAAGAAGGGAAAGTGAGTTCTCATGAAGATATTATATCAACTTTAGTCAGTCTGAGAGATGAAGATGGTAAACCCTTGTTAGAGGAAGAAATTATTGATAATCTTATAACTCTAATGATGGCAAGCCATGACACTATTGCAATTCTACTTATCCATTTTGTGAGACTCCGTGCTAGGGATGCCGAAATTTGTGATAAAGTCCTTCAAGGTAATCTAAATTGCCAATTATTACAATTTATATCTAAGGAAGCTGTCAGGAATTTTTTTTTTTTCCCTGTCGATTACATTTGAACTTGGTTGCAATAAACACTTTAAACTTTGATAGAGCAAAAGGAAGTTGTGAAGGCTAGTGAAGGAAGTGGTGGAAAGCTTAGTCGGCGAGAGGTGCAAATGATGAAATACACATGGAGTGTAGCTCAAGAAATCATGAGACTGACTCCTCCAGTTATTGGCAATTTCAGGCGTGCTTGGAGAGACACCAGGTTTGATGGTTTTGATATCCCCAAAAGGATGGCAGGTACGTAATATGTAGAATTAAGAGAGCGATATCTATAACTAAAAGTAGAATTCCTAGCTTGATCCAATTTGTTTATGTATGTAAGTGTAAGGTTTCGAGTGAAAATTCCTGGTGTTGTGGGTAACCTCTGGCACGCATTTGGATGATAAAATATTTGCAGAACCAGAAAAAATTGATCCATCAAGATTCCAGACCCTGACAAAGTCGATGCCTCCATACACCTACATTCCTTTTGGAGCGGGTCAAAGAATTTGTCCTGGGCCTTAATTTGCTAGAGTGGAAGTGCTATTGATAATTCACTATTTGATAACAACTTACAGGTGGACTGAGGAGATTCCAGATGAGCCTATGACAGCAGATCCCATTCCCTACCCTGCCATGGGCCTTCCTGTCAAGCTCTATTCAAGGAACAATATATAAGTTATGAAAAAATATATAGACCTATCATGAAAATAATGTACTTCTGAGTTCTTAATTATCCTTTCAGATTAGTTAGTATAAAAACACTTCAACCTGTCATCTTTCTTGTGGCATATCTTGTCCTTTCTCATCATCATTCACCCCATATTTAATCTGTTATTATATATTCTGGAGAGAGAGAGAGAGGGCTCCGAATTTTTGTCATATTTCATCATTTTCTTTTTTTCCAGAAAAGTAGGGAAAAAAACCGATACCTCTTATTATAATCCTGAATATGATCAAGTTTGAGGAAAGATCAAGCTTCTGTATATCACTTTAATGCTTGGAGTATCTAACCCTGCAACTGGGGTTTTGCCTTTGGTCAAAAGCAATTGTATTCCCCATAATAGTCAATCCTGCAATTACTTAATTCAATGATTTAGTTTCCAAAACTAAGTTAATTAATCCATGGGAAGTGGTAACTAAATGTTGATATGGGATTCGCACCAGCTAGAGTGATTTGATTAACCTTGATGGAATCAGAACCAATGTGTGCGTGATTAAGAATAACCAGTAATGTATGTAAAAATGTAGTAAAATAAGTAACACAAAGAGTTTTAAAGTGGTTCGGCTAGTTAAGATTTTGAGCCTATGTCCACTATTTTTGTATTTGCTGTGAGAGTTTACAATAGTATTCCTAGAATAATTTGCTAACCCCTTTCTCATTGTTGAAAGGGGTTTATATACAGACTTTGTATAAAGGAAAAAACAAAAATAAAGGGATTACAATTAAGATTGAAATGCAACTCCGATATTCTTGCCTTTGAGTACTGAGATTACGCCAAGATTGTTGTCGATCTGATCCCTTCTAAGATATCTGGGATCTGAGGTTATCTGTGAGCTGATTGAATAATTGTCGAGGTTGGTCGCGACTAGCTTGTGCTAGGTTGAGCTATATCTCGATGAGCTTATGTTGGGTTGGGCAATTGATTAAGCTGAACTGATTCTGGATCGGGCTATAACCTCGCTGACCACTGATTTCTCCGAGCTTGATGAAAAAATCACACGCAACACTAAATAATTGGGTTGATGGTGAATTTATACATAATTTGGATGTATAGAACTATTTATGAGTAATTTATAGAGAAGGTTTTTAGTACAATCAGGTACATGTAACCTCATCCAAATTTAGTTCGTATAGGAACTAGCTTAGTGCGTGTTGAGACTTGGCACAAACAAAAATTAGGAGAAATTGTGTGCCGAATAATTGTCTTATGATTAATACATGATAATCCTATTTTTCATAGTGATTTTGTATTTGAATTTCAATAGGATATAGGATACTTCTCATATAGTTTGGGCCACAATTTGTTGGTTTTTGGGCCTAACTCCTCACCCGAAATGACTTATTGAGTGGGAGGATTGCCCACTCTTATAAACTCATTGGCTTGAGCGTGTCTAGTCGATATGAATCTCCAACACTCCCCCTCATGGTCAAGCCCATATAGTCCACTTGCCTATAAATGGAGATAGTTTGGCAACCCACCGTTGGTCAATCACTCAGCTCAAATGGGGCTGGCTCTGATACCACTTGTTGGTTTTTGGGCCTAACTCCTCACCCAAAAAGCCTTATTAAGTGGGAGAATTGTCCATTCTTATAAACTCATTGGCTTGAGCGTGTCTAGTTGATATGGGATCTCCAACACAATTGCTAATAATTCTATTAATTTTACTTTGTAGGCCTAAACGATGATTTTGAGCATAAATGATGGTGTTGAGCGTAAATTACGTAACTTGAGATTTTCAACTCGGAATGACCTGAATTTAGAAGCTATGAAAATCTAAGAAGTAGAGCTACAACTTTCATGTTTGGGTTTTTTCCTTATTCTAACTGGAAGATGGTGAAAACTTGGCTTGAAGTTGTGAACAGTCCATTGTGAACTGAAGAAAAATGTCTTTGAACATACATTAGTATTTTTGCCATAACGTGAGCTGTAGACATCAAATTGGGATAATTCTTGAATGAGTAGAAATATAAGATACAGGGCTACAACTTTTATGTTTTGGTCGTGATCCAGTTCAGCTTAGAAAATGGTTAAAAATTGAGCCGAAAGTTACATCAGTTCATGGAAGACAAGTTTATTATCATCTATTTTTAATTTAAGTGTGGTTTTTTACCATAATACCCTCACGACTTTAATAACAAAAAGAGAGCTCCTTAGCAATTTTTTTTTTTTTTTGGGGGGGGGGGGGGGGTGTGGGTATGTGGCGCTAGGGTTTTGTAAAAACACATCAAAGAGGAGGAGGAGATCAAAGGAGAGAGTCTAGCACATTCATTCAAGAGAAGTTGGCGCGATACATTTCCAGAAATCAATTCTTCAAGATTTCAGTTTTTGTTTTCTCTTACTCTACTTTTATGTATCAGTTTGGAATTGTTATGATGATGAGTTCAAAACTGATATTGATTGTTATCACTTTGATTATGGGGTAGATTGTTACTGTTAAGGGGTAGATTCTACCAAACCATGTTGACTTGATTTTCAATTTTATTAAAGCATTCAGGAATTTATTATTCTACAAGAATCTGTGTGATTTGCTTAATGCTTTTGGATATAATGTTTCTTTAATTATTTAGGGCTCTTATTGAATGATGAACCGGGCGTTGAAGTTTGATTAGAATTCTTTTGATTAGGGTTTCATTGTGTTCAACTGTTTTATTGATGTGATGATAAACCGGGCGGTGAAATCACTTTAGGTCATTAAAATAGCATAGATCATAGATTGAATAGGATACTCGGGAGAGTCTTATGAGGTTTATGTGGCCAGTTTAGGTTTTAAGCGGGAGCGAAACCTAACTGTTAATGAATTTCACAATTGTGTTAAATTGAGGGATTTAGCTATCTTTAGATCAATAAATTTCTTGAATTTGAATTTTATAGCATGTCTGTCAACATTGGTTTAGGTATAATCGAAACCCTTAACATTTTTATCATATAGTGATATTTGTATTTGTTATTTAATTGTTTTAATTTCTACCAATTCTTATTTTTATTTTAAATTCATATCATCAATTTCGTTATCTCAAATAACAATTAAGATTAGTCAATTTATTTGTTTGTTTAGCATGCAGTCCATGTGGGATTCACACTTTATTCATCACTTTATTACTTGTCGATTAGTGCACTTGCTAACGTACGAAATAGTCACAACAATACACCAAAGACCCCATGTATATGCAAAAAGCATGCGAAGTCATCTTATTATTGATTTAGGAATTAATAGAAACAGCTTATACATTCATTACATCTCTCTTCCTTACTCGTATGCACATGTATATGCAAAAGAGCAGTTGAAAAGAAACATATGTTATTCACTGCTGGCCGATCAAATCAACACAAACTGGACATCATTTTATTGATCATCATTCATCTCGGCACGATTCTTTCTGATCATGGAGGAGTAGTGATACCTGCAGAAAATAAGAAAATCAAGTTAGCCATATAGGCTATTATAATTAACAGTAAGATTGTACTTCTGGGGTGAGAAGGGGTAATTACTTCCACACTTGAAGTTGCGTGGAACAGTCCTGCCACACCCTTGAACTTGCTTAATGGTACGTTGAACTCCAAGGAGAGCAGCCAACTTAGGAGTAACATAAGGGCATACACACTCAAAATGAGTCACTCTAACGCGTTGGCAACAGTTGGCAGAGGGGTTTCGGCCTAATACAACTGCCCTGCATGCGTTAACCAGAAGCCTCTTCTCCTGCTCACACTGGCTGGGACTTATGGCTCCTTTCACCATTGGAATCTCAAACACGCCCATCACCACAACCATCAACACCACCAATGCACCACATGATAAGCTAGCCCTCATTTTTTCTTTTTCTCTTCTAATTAATCTTTCTCACTTTTGTGCCTCTAACACAAGGCTCCTACTCCTTTATATAGATTTTTTTGCACAACTATGAATCAGAGAGGATGAGGCAAGGACTAAACTGTAGGGATTACATAATGTGAAATCAGAAATATTTTAAGCAATTAGTGACGATATTCAACCTTTACCCACTTGGCAAGAAGTTGCTTAGTGCTTCCCTGTCTGCGGAATTTTTTTGGCAGACTTTAACTTGTGAGCCAGTGAGTGGAAAAGTCAATAATTATAATCTGATAGAAACGCGCAGACGGCAGACCCAAGTATTTTTTTCAACTTATTGCCATATAATATATATTGCCATATTGGGGACTTTCAAATTTGTTGTCCTTTTTGTGGAAATTTAGGTCAGTTGTGAGACTTCGAGCCCGCATCCCCGATATAATAATTTGGTGATTCAGTAGGCATAAGCATAGATGAAGGAAATATGATGTCATTTGTACTGCGCTGTCTGCGTCCTATAAATTCATACCACATTTACATTTTTTTTTTTTTATTTATATAAAAATCTTTACTATTGAGAATCTTTTAAAATAGATAAGATTTTAGTTTATAAAACTAAGATTATATGATATCATATCGCTTAGTTCTTCCAATTAAACTTTATTGTAGATATTTATATAAAATTATCAATCATAATAGAATGCCAAAAAAAAAAAAAAATTACATATGTGTTATAAAATTTTGAATGAACAAATACAGTTATATACAGAAGACTCGACTCGTCCATAAACAATATATATATATAAGATTTACATTGAAACTTGTCTAATGTTAAAACTATATTGGCATCAAAGTAATTATACAAATATGGTATTATCTCTCTCACTCCCACAACACAAATACAAGACCTTTTGAATATAATTGACCATAATAGTTGAATTGTTTATTATCTGTCCACGGGGGCCCAGGGGAGAGGTTTAAAGTTCGGGACTTTCAAATTTGTTGTGCTTTTTTGGAACTTTAGGTCAGTGGTGTGGCTTTGAGTCATAATAATAATTTAAAATGTTCGCCTTTTTAGGACTTTCAAGTTTGTAGTGCTTTTTTGTGGAAAATTTAGGTCAGTGGTGTGGCTTTGAGTCATATAATAATTGGGTGATTCAGTGGGCATAAGAATAGACGAAGGAAATATTGTTCACAAAAAAAAAAAGTCATTTATAACGTATAATGTCATTTGTACTTCGTCCTATAAACTCATACCACAGTTACATTTATTTTTATTTTTGATTTATATAAAAATCTTTATTATTGAGAATCTTTTAAAATTGACAACTTTTATAAACAAAAAGTAAGATTACATGATATGTCGTATGGATAATGTGATATCAAATCACTTAGTTCTTCCAATTAAACTTTATTTTGTAGATATTTATATAAAATTATCAATCATAATATAGAATGCCAAAAAAAATATAATTTTATAATACATATGTGTGTGTATATATATATATATATTTCAGAAATTCTATTGTACTCTTTGTAGATAATAAACTGAATCTTCATATTTCATTGTTAAGAATAATTTATTAACATCTCAATAAAATGATCAATTAATGTAACTGATCAACTTTACAATAAAATCTCTAATTTCATAAATTAGAAATGTTTAGGCTTTGGCCACTTGTACAAAGCCAGTGCTACATAAAGTAAGCTTGTCTAAACAATTTGTACAAGCTCTAATGCTACGTTCATAAGTTGTACTTAAAGCAGCAGCTACATTTATTAAGAAGAGGCTTTTTTTTTATAGTGTGGGAGGAGGGAGTATCCATTGAGCTCCCTGAACGTAGCCAAGGCTGAGGAAGGGTTGGACTTCTTCCTTGGTTAGCTGTCTGGTGAATTTAGCCCTACTTTTTGGAGTTGACCCTGCTCCTGAACACTGGTATTCTCCATAGAAAACACTCCTGCAATTCATTTATACCATGATTCATTAATTCAGTTGGTGAGAGATTTTGATTCGTTAAGTAAATCAAGAAATTAAGGTTACCGATCGCGCTCGGGATGGAAATTGTTGGTCCATCCAGCTGGTGTGACGACCTTGCCCATGCTGGTGAAAGCATAAACCACTCTTGGGCTAGTTTTCCAAGCTCTGCCCAAGTATGTACTCCCCCTCCCAGTTATTGAACAATGCACGAATGAGTATCCTGTATCCTCGTTTTCACTGTCCCGAGCATGTGCTGTTATTACTGTAAATTGACTCATTCCATCCCCCACCACATGTAACTCCGTGTTCTGCATTCATCAAAATCCATTTTATATATAATAGCACAAGTAATCAAATACTCTTATCTATTTCAAGGAGTTGGACTTACCAAATATAATGACTTTCCTGATCCAAAAATGAAATCAACAGTGCCTTCAATGTAGCAATCCTTGAAGAAATGATTGCCCTTGTGATCACACAAGGTATCCTGGAACCCAAACACTTTGCAGTTATAGAAGGCTGCTTTGTCTCCAGAGACCCTCAATGCAACAGCCTGAGCTCCAACCCTTTTCCCGTCTGGCCTTGGCGCAGAATTCTAAACACAAAAATCCATACAAAACGTTACGATTACTTCTCGAAGACACTTCTAAGTAGAATGATACAATATCAATTTTTATTAAAGGAATTACACAAACCTTTATTATAATATTAGCAGCTATGAAGTAATCAGACTCCACAACAAGGGTGGCACTGTCAATTGTTCCATACTTGGCTGCAGTTCCATCAAATGTCAAAGTCGGTATAGCATTAGGCGATCCATAGAGCGTCACAAACTTTTTGCTTCCATCAATCTTGACCTTCTCTCGATATTCTCCAGGTCCAATCCACAGAATGACACGTTTTGTGTCGTTCCCTGACGGTATGCTGTTAAGTGCATCATTTATAGTTTTAAAATCACCACTTCCATCCATTCTAACCTTGATAACACGAGATCCAGCCTCAGCCGCAGCAAGTTCAGGTTCTACACTTTTCTGCCTGCTATTACAAGGCTTAACATTGGCTTGGAACCAGCCATCTAATTGTGATTTATCAGCAGGAATTGGCGGTCCATTATTCATAGGAACAGGCGTCCCATCAGCATAAATGAGGAAAATTGTGAAAATGGCAATGTGCTTGATCTCTTTACTCAACATGTTTGGATTGTGTGTTTGATTGGTGAATGATTAACGTATGCCAATTATTTATAAGGCAGTAATAAGTGAAAATTAGAGAAGAGGCTAAATCGTCGGTTTTTCTGGTTATTCATTTGTGGTTAGTGGTTGACTTAGTAATGGCCAGAAATGAAAGTTATATTATCCATCACATAAAATTTATATGTGTTCACTTTCTCCTGGGGCCTCATTGCATGGACATCCTTCCTCTTTCCTTTTAGTTCTTATTTTACCCAAAACCAAACCTTGTGTTAGCTCTATATATAATATAACTAATATGTTAAAATTACTAAGGTAAACAGGAATTTTAGATCAGATTATCCATTAAATTAAAACCAAAAGTCATCAGCAAGTATCATGTGCAAAAACTAATCACGAGTACATGTGAGATTAAATTAACCAAGCACATGTCTTTTGGCTTAATTGCTATCATTTTAGGCCATTGAATGACACAGTAGTCTAAAAAAGGGTACTAGGCAAATGAGGCACAAATTTGGACTTAATTGGGGCACCAAGATGCCCTACCACATTCATTTAATTAGAGTAATGCTAAGTTAATGCCATTGTTGTTAACAGAAACGTAATTTCATCATTATTATTATTTTTTACTTTAAACAAATAATTAAATTAGCTATTGGTTTCACTAATCCACTCGAACCATTCATTGTTGGCACAAGTAGCATATTTTTATAGTCAATATTCTCCTAACAAAAATATTCGAATATCTCCACTTAAGCCGACAACAATGATACACTAATAATTGATGTATTTTTCCTTTATTTGATTACAAATTAGATGGGTTAAGAATTTCTCTTTTTAGATACGTATCATGTGATTTGTTTTCTTTAATCTAAGGACATATGTCAAATATATTAAGACTAGATGTTTCATTATTGAAATGCCAATTCATTAACTATATGTTAAAAAATCTCTTACACTATTTGGTATGTTAATTATTTTCCACGTTAAAAATATATTTAAATTTTATGATTCTCCACTCAATAATCGAAACGTGTGTTATTAATATAAGTATTAGATGCTTTAATGTTAATCAATACGTACAATTCTCTCACACACAATTCCAATTGACTTAATGCCTTCCCTATTCAAAAGTTGGTGGCGGTGGATAGATAAGGGCTAAAATAAATCATTTAAGAATAAAATTATTATTCTAATTATATATTCGTATTTCATCACCAATGCCATACCTACTAATACATAAATTTAAGAATAACTATTTCTTACTTCTCTATTTTAATTATTGGAATGACTTGAATTAATGTATATATATGAATTTTTTCCTATCTAATTAAAATGAAATTTAAAAGTCCCTTTTAATTTTACAAACAAATTAAGATATTATAACCTTGAATGATCGAAGACAAATTGTAGACATCAATCAAAATTTTGAGTTATCATTTAGGGTGCGTTTGGTTCAAGAAATGTTAGATTACTTGAATGTTAGATTACCTTGAAGATTATTGAGAATCTTTAAGAAAATGTGTTTGGTTAGTTGAAATAAATTAGTGGGTATGTTATATTAATATGTTTGATTAGGAAGAATAAATTGGTGAGTGTGATATTTAAATTATTAAATTGTCTTCTTTTTAAATATTAATATAATAATATTTTTATTATTAATTTTTGAATAGTTTTTTTAACCCCCAACATTTAAGATTTAGTTAAAGCACCCCCACTTATATAAAAACTTTAATTTATAAAAAAATCACCCCACCACACAAAGTCACTGCCGGCCACGGCCAACCGTCGCAGGAAGTCGTCGGAAGTCACCTGGAGTCGTTGTGAGTAGCCCATCATCACCGGGAGGCTCCAATATGGTAGTTTCTGGCCATATTGATGGCCGAAAAGGCCATATCGGGAGCAGATCTGGCCAAAAATGGCCAGATTACTCCAGGTGACTTCTGGCGACGACCAACGGTGGTTTGGCTGGCAACAGGCGACGACAGGTGGGTGGGGGTAGGGGTGGTGGCTTGGGTGAGCTGCAATTTGTTTTGACTTTAAGGGTAATTTTGTCAAAAAAGTTAATTTAATTGGGGTGAAATACTAAAAGCTAATTCATGTAAATTAATTTAAAAATAAAAATATTATTATCCTAAAATTTTATTTATAAGGGATAAAATTATAACAAAAATAAGATTACCTTAGGGTTTGTTTGAGAGTTTTGTTTTCACTGGTTTTGGGGGGTTTTTAATTAGACTGGTTTTGAGGAGTTTAAAAAACCCCACTTGCCAGATTTTTAAGGGCTGGTTTTGACTGATTTAAAAACCCCCCAAAACCAGTGTAGTGTATTTTTGAGGGGTTTATAGAACACCCCAAATCGGGGTGTTTTGGATGGTTTAAAAATTTTATCCGAAAAAACCCCTTTCCACTCCCTTTGCTGCACACAAATCTCTTGCTGCTGTTGACTTCTTTCTAGCACACAAATCTCTTGATGCTGCACACGAAGTGCGTGAATGGTTTTAATTTGCTGTAAACAACTCGTTTAATTTGTAAAATGCGTGGTGAATTTGAGAGTTAACTCCTCCATTCTTATGATGGTAATATTTATATAAAACTAGATGCGTGGTGAATTTGACAACTGTGCCGATTACATAAATATTACCAGAGCAATTGTAAGTAAAATGCGTGGTGAATTTGAGAGTTAACTCCTCCATTCTTATGATGGTAATGGAAATCAACACAGCAAACTTTTATTCTTAAGAGCTTCATTACAAATCTTAATAGAAAGAAACAAAAATATATTCCATCAAACCAAATACAACTGCAAACTGAAACTAATGACCTCCAATAACGGAATTTGTTGAAGCAATCATAACTGTCAGAGAGAGCCTCTTGTTTGATTGGAGAGAAAGAAAATAAAAACAAATAATGTAGGCATTATCTATATTTATCAAAGTTAATTAAGTAAAAGAGAGAGTGTTTTAACTTTATGGGCATTTATGTAAATTTATCATTTAAAAAAACTATCAAAACCGTTGGAAAATAAACTCCCAAGCACATGTTGGGTGTTTTAAAAACTGCTACTAAAAATCCCTCAAAACCGCTATAGTAGTTTACTCTCAAAACTGTCACGATGATTTACCCTCATAATCGCTACCATAAAACTCTCAAGCAGACCCTTAGCTTAGGAGTTTTTTTTTCACTGATTTTGGGGGGTTTTAATTAGACTGGTTTTAAGGTGTTCTAAAACCATTACTTGCCAGATTTTTTATAAACTGGTTTTGACTGGTTTAAAAACCCCCAAAAATCAGTGTATTGTATTTTTGAGGGGTTTATAAAACACCTCAAATCGGGATGTTTTGGCTGGTTTAAAAATTTTATCCCAAGAAAACCCATTTTCACTATTATTCCGTGATATACTATAACACCCCAATTCCGTGTTTTTGGATACTTAAAACAGAATTATCAGGTCTTCATCCTTTATAAGTCATCAAAATTTCCTTTCCCCACCAAATAGTGACTGGTGTTCTTAAGCCAGATTTCATTTTGAGGCGCTGAAACATATAATTTATATAGCATATGAAAGCAGATATCTAAACCAAAAGAAAACAGAGGATTGAGCACTGGTAATTTAAAATCATAAAGCTGTCATATACAGAAACTAGTGTTTGGTCCTGACATTAATTGTTGGTTGGAGATGATGAATGTCTCGTAAATAGACCCTTGTAAACTGAATCACATGTGTGAGTGTGACATGAAAATGATTCACATGTGTGAGTGTGACATGAAAATGATATATTACCATATTGTTTTTATTGGTTGCATAAGTACCTAGGTGTTTTTGACCTCTTGTTTGATTGGAGAGAAATAAAATAAAAACAAATAATGTAGGGTCGTTTGGTTTATTATTTTGGATATGATTTTAAGAATAGTATTAGATAATTGAATATAGGCGTATTACGAGATAAAATTTAAAAATTTATAGAAAAACCTCCTAAGTTTGCTAATTTAATAAATACCCCAACATGTAAAATGACAAAAATACCTCTATCATCTGCAGTGCCAGATTCTAGCCACCATCGTCAGAATCTGGCCAAAAAATCGCGTTACGACATAAACCGGTCGGATCTGTGTCTTAACTCGTCGTTATGGCCTTTTCCGGCCAGATCCACCACGGATCTGACTGGAAAAGGCCAGATCTAAGGCCTGCTGTAGTTGTCGACGGCAAAAAAATACCAAAACGATGGCCATCTTTGGCCGTCAGCGACGGCCAAAGATATGGCCGTCGTTTTCGATCAACGATGGCCAAGATTTGGCCGTCGTTGACCTCAACAACGGCCATTTCTTTGGCTGTCGTTCACGGCCAGATCGGTGAACTTCCAGCCATTTATGGTCGTCAGATAGGCCGTTGTACAGATTTTGGCTACCACCGACGGTGGTTGTCGGAATCTGGCAAGTATGGGTCGTGGGAGTATTTTTGATAATTTTTAAACTTTTTTTTCATGGTGTATTTGATGAAATTAATAACCTTATGGAGTCTAAAAGTAATTAAAAAAATAGGGTAATATTTCTGAAATAATGTGTCAAACATTATTTGGAGAATAAGATTGGGAATAGGGATAAAAATAATAAGCCAAATATGGCCGTAGGCATTATCTGTATTTATCAAAGTTAATTCAGCAAACGAGGGAGTGTTTTAACTTTGTTTGGTTGTGTTTGTGTGAAGAAAGTGAAAGATAAACAACATTGTAATTTATTGATTTATACTTCTCTTCATTTAAATGTTTACATTGAGGTATTTTTATGGGTATATATGTAAATTTATCATTTTAAAAAACTTTCAGAACCGTTGGAAAATAAACTCCCAAGCACAGGTAAAGCGTTTTAAAAACCGCTACTAAAAACCTTTTAAAATCGCTACGGTGATTTACTCTTAAAATTGCTACGATGATTTACCCTTATAACCATTATCATAAAACTTCTAAACAGACCCTTAATAATCTTATCATACCTAAAAAAATAAAAGTTATCAAATTACTTTCAATATTACTTGATTAGACCTATTAATCTTATATTCCTATTAATCTTATATTACCTCCCACCAAAGCCTAAATAAATCCATAAAATCATCAAAGAAAATTTCAAAACGCGTCCGTCTGGTCTAGGAACTATCATCGGAAAGTGCGTACATTTACACTGTGCTACGTCCCACCCAAGTCAAAATCTAATCTTTCTCTCTCTCCCTCCCTCCCCGTCACCTTCCTCATCAAATCTCTCTTTTCTTTTCACTTTAATCACTTCCTTCTCACCCTTCTTTACAATCTACCTTTGAGTTTAGGTTTGACTTTCAACACCCACTATATATACCTCTACCCTTCTTGATCTCCGTAAAACGCTTTCTTCATAATTGTTTCCTCAAATCACGAAATTCACATCCAAACCAAACCAAACGCACAACCACCACCACAATGTTGATGCTCGTGAACTGTACCAACTGCCAGACGCCGTTACAGCTGCCTCCTGGGGCCCAGTCAATCCGTTGCGCCATCTGCCACGCTGTCACCCGCATCGCCGACCCTCGATCACTTCCTGCAGCCGGATCATCCCACTCCGCCAACAATTCCCTACACCAACCATATCCTCCTCCGCAGTCTTCCGCCGGCACTCCTTCTCCTTACAACCACGCGCCTCCCGGAGCGCCGCCCCAAGTGCATGGCCGTAAAAGAGCGTTGATCGTCGGCGTGTCGTATAGGAACTCAAGGCACGAGCTCAAGGGCTGCATTAATGACGCCAAGTGTATGAAGTACATGTTGATTAACCGATTTAAGTTCCCCGAGTCCTCAATTGTTATGCTTACTGGTAATTCTGAATTTTTTTTTTTTTTTTTTAACTTATAATTTTGATTTCTGTTTAATTCTTTTTGATTTTATTATTTTTTTTATTAGCTGATGAATTATATATTTTTAACTTTGTTTATTAGTTTAGTTTGAAAAGTCTTTTAATTGTGTTGTGATTAAGGCTAATTTGAGTACTAGGTAGGTTTATTTATTTATGTGATGATTGCTTTAAAAATAAGAAGTGTAGTTGTGGTAAGCAAATTAAGATATTGGAGGTTATTCTTGTAAGAATCTTCATTATTTGTTTGGGATATCAGATGGCAATGTACTTGTCATAGTGGCGGAGATGAAAGTGTTAATCATTAAGGACCTGGTTGTTGAGATATTATCAAATGTGAATGTATAGATTTGCATTTCTGGCCATGAGAATTATTTCAAATGATTCTTTTAGAAATGGTCTGGAAACAACTAGGAAAAATACTGATGACAGAAAAAGGAAATCATTTAGGAATGGTCTGGAAACAACTAGGAAAGATTCTGATGACATAAAAAACAGCCACAATAGTGGTGGACAAAAATTAAAGCAGAAAATATGGATCGGTTTACTGTTAAAAGGAGTTTCTTCAATGTTTAAGCATCAATGATCATGGCAATATACCTCAACATCTTACTCCACATGGAGTTATTAATCAACTATTGGTTATTTTATATGGGAATGATGACATAGCATGAGAATGACCTTGTCTGATTCCTTTTTTTTTCCCCTGAAATTTATTATGCAGAAGAAGAAATGGATCCCTACAAGCGCCCTACTAAATATAACATGAGAATGGCGCTGTATTGGCTTGTGCAAGGATGTCAACCTGGTGATTCACTGGTGTTCCATTATTCTGGTCATGGTTCACAGCAGAGGAACTACACTGGTGAAGAGGTTGATGGATATGATGAAACTCTTTGTCCTGTGGATTTTGAAACCCAAGGAATGATTATCGATGATGAGATTAATGCAACTATTGTGAAGCCACTTCCTCGAGGGGCCAAGCTCCATGCAATTGTAGATGCTTGCCATAGTGGAACCGTGTTAGATTTACCATTTCTCTGTAGAATGGACAGGTTAGTTCCTTTTTCTTAAATAAATTTTGTTATACAGTTAAATAAGAGGATCTGATAAATTCACAAAGTAAAGTGCCCCCACCCAACCACCAAAAAGAAAAAATGAAAATCCTATGACCAATCAAGCTTTTAAAGGCATTTAATCCCATTTTACTCTTTATCTGTTTGTACAATGTACGTCCTGGTTTATACATGCTATCTTTTGAGGATGTAGACATGGGAAGTACATATGGGAGGACCATCGTCCTCGATCAGGAATGTGGAAAGGCACAAGTGGTGGAGAGGCTATTTCCTTCAGTGGCTGTGATGATGATCAAACCTCTGCTGATACATCGGTAAAATCTTTGGCATTTGTGTCAACCTTTTCATTAGCATATGGATAATTACATGTTTCAGTTAAGAATGGAGATTGAGGTACTCACTCTGATGCTTTATGGACAGGCTTTATCAAGAATTACATCAACAGGTGCCATGACTTATTCTTTCATCCAAGCCATCGAGCGTGGACATGGAAATACATATGGGAACATTCTAAACGCGATGAGGTCTACAATTCGAAACACAGACAGTCAGATTGATGGCGGTGTTGTGACATCTCTAATCACCATGCTTTTGACAGGAGGGAGTGTAAGTAGTGGATTGAGACAGGTATGTTTAACCATGACCACTGTCAGTTGTTATGGACTTTACTTAAGATTGTTTATTCCCTGATTTGGCTCTACTCTGTACTTGCTCAATTAACAGTCAAATGTTCTGGTGACAAAATGATGGCATCAGGAAAAAAAGTTGCATAATTCATGGTGACAGGACATGCCCTAGTTTCATAAGTAGTAGATTCATATGTGGATCTTAATATAATACGTAACTCTTTTATTTTTTATTTTAAAGTTATGATTTGCTTTCTGTGAATTGAAAAAGGGCAAACCTATTGTACTCATGAGTTAAGATTGCTGAATTGCATCTTTTAAGTACACACTAGGGATTTCAGAACACTGAGAGCTCCTTGGGATGTTTGGCATTTAGTTGTTGTGTGTCAAATTTCTCTAGCTCTTTAGTGCCTCAAAAGTCAAAAAGTAGATATCTTTAATTGGATTGAACAGTTTGTGAATTTTTCTGAGCATTCTTTTTCATTTATCTAAGGAAATTGACATTGTACAAAAACTGCATGATATGCAAAGTTAGAGCATCTATTTTTTGTTCTCATACTTGGTCATTGCCGACAGCTGGTATTTCAATTAGATGCTGCAGAAATTAAGTTTATCACTTTACATCTTAAGTGTGGATAACTGAGGTATTTAAAAGCTGGAATTATGACACAGTTAATAAAGTTCTGGTTGATTTGATTGTAATCATGCACCGGAGAAAGTTTACATGAGAATTCCAAGCATGAAATAGGAGTGGTAAACAGTGCAGCAGCTAAGGAGAATAAAAAATTGAAGATATGATATTAAGGATTATGAGAAAATGTTATATGCAGCATTTCCATGAGCCGCTGCTACTTTCAAAATATAAAATCACTTTTGGAGTCTTGTTTGTAAATGGACTATTCAAAAGACTATATAATCTGTTAATACTCCTTTGACAGTTTGGGATTTTAATTTAAAGTTCACTGCATCTCATATACATTGAATAATTGAAAATTCTGTTCACTCTCAAAAAATAATGCATCGCTTTTCCGTATGTCTATTAGGACAGACATTCTGGTGACATTTCCATATGAACCATTTGTCTAAAAAATATTTAATGTCTTCTCCTATTAAAGCCTTGATGTATTGTGGTTATGTATACTTGTGTTGATATTACTGATGTTATTATTTCTGAATTTGTTAATTGTTTGTAATGCAGGAACCTCAGTTGAGTGCTAATGAACCATTCGATGTGTATACCAAGCCCTTCTCCTTATAAGTAGTGAAACAGTATATTTGTGGTGAAGCTCTCGATTTGATTCAAGCAGGTGACTCCAGATGTGTACAGTTTATGGAGAAAACTCAATTCTATTAGGTGTTTGTCTAATATTCTGTGCTTGTCCTTTTTTCTCTATTTTGGGAATAAGTGATTGTTATGGTCTGCTAGACAAATTATATACATGGTTCAATTCTTATTTTTGGTATTAAACAGTTTTGAGAATTGTTTACGTAATTGATAATATATTTCAACAAAACCATGATCTGTTGTGTGTTGTAGGCGTTAGTGATTTCTTCTCAAGTGGAGAGGCAAGGGAAGTCAAAAGACATTTCTGNTGTTCTCATACTTGGTCATTGCCGACAGCTGGTATTTCAATTAGATGCTGCAGAAATTAAGTTTATCACTTTCCATCTTAAGTGTGGATAACTGAGGTATTTAAAAGCTGGAATTATGACACAGTTAATAAAGTTCTGGTTGATTTGATTGTAATCATGCACCGGAGAAAGTTTACATGAGAATTCCAAGCATGAAATAGGAGTGGTAAACAGTGCAGCAGCTAAGGAGATTAAAAAATTGAAGATATGATATTAGGGATTATGAGAAAATGTTATATGCAGCATTTCCATGAGCCCCTGCTACTTTCAAATTATAAAATCACTTTTGGAGTCTTGTTTGTAAATGGACTATTCAAAAGACTATATAATCTGTTAATACTCCTTTGACAGTTTGGGATTTTAATTTAAAGTTCACTGCATCTCATATACATTGAATAATTGAAAATTCTGTTCACTCTCAAAAAATAATGCATCGCTTTTCCGTATGTCTATTAGGACAGACATTCTGGTGACATTTCCATATGAACCATTTGTCTAAAAAATATTTAATGTCTTCTCCTATTAAAGCCTTGATGTATTGTGGTTATGTATACTTGTGTTGATATTACTGATGTTATTATTTCTGAATTTGTTAATTGTTTGTAATGCAGGAACCTCAGTTGAGTGCTAATGAACCATTCGATGTGTATACCAAGCCCTTCTCCTTATAAGTAGTGAAACAGTATATTTGTGGTGAAGCTCTCGATTTGATTCAAGCAGGTGACTCCAGATGTGTACAGTTTATGGAGAAAACTCAATTCTATTAGGTGTTTGTCTAATATTCTGTGCTTGTCCTTTTTTCTCTATTTTGGGAATAAGTGATTGTTATGGTCTGCTAGACAAATTATATACATGGTTCAATTCTTATTTTTGGTATTAAACAGTTTTGAGAATTGTTTATGTAATTGATAATATATTTCAACAAAACCATGATCTGTTGTGTGTTGTAGGCGTTAGTGATTTCTTCTCAAGTGGAGAGGCAAGGGAAGTCAAAGACATTTCTGATAGATAACGAGAACATTTTCTCCAAATTTAAGTCTTCGTTTTCTAGAAAGAGTGAGTTAGGAATTGTAACTAATACGCTTGCCGAGAAAAAAGAGGTTTGAAATGATCGGCCAGTGAAAAAAGGGTCGCTTTATACTTTATACATCTTTTGTTGATTCGGCCTTAATATATATATCCGTAAAGTAAATAATTTAAACAAGCCGGTTCATCCCATGTGGGTAGAGGCTACGCCTACGAGTTTAGACTTTAGACTTTAGACCGCGCAAGCACACAAATCAGATTCAATAAGATCATTCATTCGCTTTTCGAATCTCCTTTCCGAACAAGCCTATTAAATTACGTTTCGAATCTTCTTTCTCAACATCAAGAATTATATATCCCTCCAATTCTCTCCCAAAATGTGTTAGCTTTCGGTATCACTACAGTCTACCACTCGACAAATTAAAACCTAACCTTGGGGTCCAACTCTGTCATCAAATATTCACAACCAAATGCAAACACAAAGTCCATGCTTGTAAACTGCTCAAACTGCTTTACAACGCAGCTGCTTCCTCGCGAGGCTCAGTCATCTGCTGCTTCATCTGCCGTACTGTCACGCGCATCAATTACTCCTCCTACAACAGTCACCACCACCAGCTACAGTACCCTCCGACGTTCCTTGTAGCTCCCTCGCCTTACACCCACGCCTCCTTGTTTAACACTCCCAACTTCTGCTGCCGTAAGAGAGCCTTGATCATCGTCATCAATTATAAGCACACATTCAACCAGCTCAACGGTTGCATTAATAGCGCTAAGTAGATCAAGTACTTGTTGATGAACAGGTTTAAGTTCCCTGAGTCGTCAATTCTCATGGTCACTGGTAATTTTACACGGATTATTAATTAGCTGATCAGCAGTACGATTATTGTTGTTAAACTCTAAATTTGTTCTAGTCATTAATTAATTATTTTTGCTGAAAATATTTTAAATTAATTGTTTATATGTCATAGAGGTATTAATTAAACGTTAGTAATATCTACATGTAAGATTTACCTTAATTACTAGGTGCTGCTCATGTCATCCCTATTCTTATTTTGGTTGAAATGAAAAATGTTTGATGTAATAAAATAAGTTGTGCAGTATTTGGATAATTACCCTCTATAACTAAAATATTTAATAAAAACTTAAAAAGTAAAATTAAACTTTGTATTTTCTGAAATTTAATATCAAATCCTTTCTTCGCAGAAGAAGAAGCTGACCCCTACTTACATCNCAAATTTAAGTCTTCGTTTTCTAGAAAGAGTGAGTTAGGAATTGTAACTAATACGCTTGCCGAGAAAAAAGAGGTTTGAAATGAACGGCCAGTGAAAAAAGGGTCGCTTTATACTTTATACATCTTTTGTTGATTCGGCCTTAAGATATATATCCGTAAAGTAAATAATTTAAACAAGCCGGTTCATCCCATGTGGGTAGAGGCTACGCCTACGAGTTTAGACTTTAGACTTTAGACCGCGCAAGCACACAAATCAGATTCAATAAGATCATTCATTCGCTTTTCGAATCTCCTTTCCGAACAAGCCTATTAAATTACGTTTCGAATCTTCTTTCTCAACATCAAGAATTATATATCCCTCCAATTCTCTCCCAAAATGTGTTAGCTTTCGGTATCACTACAGTCTACCACTCGACAAATTAAAACCTAACCTTGGGGTCCAACTCTGTCATCAAATATTCACAACCAAATGCAAACACAAAGTCCATGCTTGTAAACTGCTCAAACTGCTTTACAACGCAGCTGCTTCCTCGCGAGGCTCAGTCATCTGCTGCTTCATCTGCCGTACTGTCACGCGCATCAATTACTCCTCCTACAACAGTCACCACCACCAGCTACAGTACCCTCCGACGTTCCTTGTAGCTCCCTCGCCTTACACCCACGCCTCCTTGTTTAACACTCCCAACTTCTGCTGCCGTAAGAGAGCCTTGATCATCGTCATCAATTATAAGCACACATTCAACCAGCTCAACGGTTGCATTAATAGCGCTAAGTAGATCAAGTACTTGTTGATGAACAGGTTTAAGTTCCCTGAGTCGTCAATTCTCATGGTCACTGGTAATTTTACACGGATTATTAATTAGCTGATCAGCAGTACGATTATTGTTGTTAAACTCTAAATTTGTTCTAGTCATTAATTAAATATTTTTGCTGAAAATATTTTAAATTAATTGTTTATATGTCGTAGAGGTATTAATTAAACGTTAGTAATATCTACATGTAAGATTTATCTTAATTACTAGGTGCTGCTCATGTCATCTCTATTCTTATTTTGGTTGAAATGAAAAATGTTTGATGTAATAAAATAAGTTGTGCAGTATTTGGATAATTACCCTCTATAACTAAAATATTTAATAAAAACTTAAAAAGTAAAATTAAACTTTGTATTTTCTGAAATTTAATATCAAATCCTTTCTTCGCAGAAGAAGAAGCTGACCCCTACTTACATCCTACCTATTATAACATGAGAATAGCATTAGGTTGGCTTGTGCAAGGTTGCAACCCGGAGATTCACTGGTGTTCTATTTTCTGGTCATGGTTCACAGCGACCGAACAGCGACGAGGTTGATGGCTATGATGAAGCTCTTTGACCTTTGGATGAGATAACGCAAGGAGTGATTCTTGATAATGAGATCAATGCAACTATGGATATGGATAGTGTGTATGGGAAGACCATCGCCCTTGATCTGGAATGTGGAAAGGCACAAGTGGTGGAGAGGCTATTTCCTTCAGTGGATGTGATGATGCTCAAAATTCTTTTGATACTCTGGTAAAATCTTAGAAATTAGAACTAATATGGATAATTATATATGTGTTCTCGGTTGAGTTGAGAATGGAGATTAAGGTTTTCAACCTGATTGCTTTATGGACAGTTTCTGTCATGGGTTGGATCAACTAGTGTAATGACTTATTGTTTCATCCAAGCCATCCAGAGTGGACACGGAACTACATATGGGAACATTTTGAATGCGGCTCGGTCTACCATTTGAAATGGGAATATTGGACTTGGACCAGTTGGCAGCATGCGGAGACAGGAGCAGCAGGTATCTAATACCATTTACCCATGTCAATTGTTATGGACATGACGCAAAAACTGTTTTTTACTTCTAATTTTTATATGTAGGAGACTTATAATGTACATTACTGTAAAAAGAAAGAGAAAAAAAAAAAAAAAACCATATATGGTATGACGCAATACTGTTTATTCACCATGGACTCATAAGTATTTTACATCATTGGATGCAACTCTTTAAGTATTCCATAGGGACGTCAGAACAGTCAAACAACTTAGTTAAAGAGTCATATAGAGGTTCAATTGGGATATTTGGTTTTTATTCTTTGAGTGTCAAATTTCTCTAGCCCTTTGATGCCTTCAAAATTAGATACCTTTAAGTGGACTGAACAGTTTATGAAGTGTTCTAAGCTATTTTTTTCTCATAAATTCAAGGATATTGACACTGTAAAAGAACCGTATGATGTGCAAAATTGCATTTTGAACTTTGTAGAGCATCTATTTCTGTTCTCTTATACCCGGGTCATTGCTGACAGCTGTGATTTTAACACTTGCTATCTAAGTATGGATAACTGAGGTAACTAAGAGGTGGAAATTTTTGCACATAGATAATGAAGTTCTGGTTGATTTAATACTAAATTTTTATTTATGCACTGGAAAAAGTTTACATGAGAATTTCTATCATGACATGAAATTTTAAAAATGTTAAATGCGCGCAGCTGTTTCCATGAGTCCGCTACTACTTTGAAAACTGAAAATTCACTTTTGGAGTCTTGTTTATAATGGTTTGCTCAGAAGACTGTATATTTACCAAGCTGTTAATACTCTTTTGACAATTTGGGATTTTAATTTTAAGTTCACTGCATCTCATAAATATACATTGAATTGTCGAAAATTCTGTTCACCTCCAAAAATAGAGGCATATATACCTTTTCCGCATGTCTATCAGAGCCCAAAATTACTTAATGTTTTCTCCTAATATAAAATTGATGTAATCTTGTTATGTTACCTCAGAATTTGTTGTTTGTAATTCGATGCAGGAACCTCAGTTGACAACTAATAAAATATTCGATGTGTACACAAAGCCCTTCTCCCTGTAACTAGCTAAGCAGTAGCTCTTGATTTGATTTAAGCATGTATGTGTAACGTTATTGAGAAAACTCAATTATATTAAGCTATTTGTTTAATATTCTGTACTTGTTCTTTCCCTTTTCCCTATTATGGGAATAAGTGAAGAGGTGGTGATTGTTAAATGTTAATGTCTTCATTCCCTGTTCTGCAAACTAATTATACGCATGGCTCATTTCTTGTTTTCTCTATCAAACGGTTTTGAGAATTCGAAAGAGTAATTGATTGCATATTCCAACAAAACCATTATATATACGTGGTGTAGGCATGATATGTTGTATTTTATTGAAAAAGGTTTTATATGAAGTAAATAGAAATTTTTTATCAGAATTTGGAGTCTTTTTCTTGTTTGGCCTTTGTATAGGGTTCGCATAGAGATGTTACATGTACCCTTTCAGAGACTGTCTAATGAAGTAGAAATTAACCCTAAGGGGTTGATGTGACAATCAAGGAAGTGTGTTCCCTTCTTTGAGTTCTTAGACTCAAACCTTGAGACTAATGAAGTATAAATTAATCTCAAAGGATTGGTCTGACGGTTAAAGAAGTTTGTTCATTTTTTTGAGTTTCTAGGTTCAAACCTTAGGGTTATCTACTACAATAATATTATAATTTATCTGATTGAGTTTGTAGAATATTTAATGGACAATGAAGATTAGTTGAAGTGTGTGTAAACTATATATATATATATATATATATAAAAGAGTTAGAAATATTTCCCTTTCGCTGGTTGAGCCTTTTAGAATACAAATGGCCTAGCTCTACGTATTATTCCTCTCGTACTATCTCAAACAGCTCTGAGAATATTCGAAGAGCCAACAATCGGAAAAAATTTGAAGAAATCCCTTCTTACACGAAACACTTAGATAATCCATGGAAAGTTGGAAAAATTCAATATATATGTATACCTCTAGTCCTCTACCAGGACTAATGGCTCTTTTTTCCAAAAACGAATTTGTATACTTCAACATATATTATAAAATTAAACAGTTGTAAAGGCATCCCATCGCCATCCCAGTTATTCTTAGAATTTATATCACGGTGTTCATGCATCTCTTACCTGAAATTCCTAATCAATTAGGTTTGGAATTTCTTTTCTCAAGTATCCAATTCCTCTCAAGTCCCGCACCGTCTCTCTCAAAATGTTGGCTTTCGGTGCTATACAAATTTAACCTTTTGGGATCCAACTCAATTCACAGCCAACTTAAAAATCCAGCACAATGTTAATGCTGGTAAACTGTTCAAACTGCCACACGCCATTGCAGCTTCCACCTGGGGCGCAGTCAATCCGCTGTGCTATTTGCCATGCTGTCACGCGCATCAACAATAACTCCTCCTACAACACTCACCACCAACACCAACAGTACCCTCCTCCGCCGGTTGTTACTCCCTCGCCTTACAACCATGTGACGTCGTTCAAGACTCCCAACGCCCACGGCCGTAAGAGAGCCTTGATAATCGGCGTGTGTTATAAGTACTCAAGGCACGAGCTCAAGGGTTGCATTAATGACGCTAAGTGTATGAAGTACTTGTTGATTAACCGCTTTAAGTTCCCCGACTCCTCAATTCTCATGCTCACCGGTAATATTACATTAATTATTATTCTCTTCTCTTATTACAATTATAATTAAGGAAACTTCTATGGTTCTAAATTTGTATTAACATCAGTCAAAGCTTAATTTAAAAGTAAAAATGAACTTTTATTTTCAGGATATTAATACCAAATCCTTTCTGAAAATAAATTTTGCAGAAGAAGAAAGTGATCCCTACAAGCGTCCTACCAAATATAACATGAGAATGGCATTGTACTGGCTTGTGCAAGGCTGTCAACCCGGAGATTCACTGGTGTTCCATTATTCTGGTCATGGTTCACAGCAAAGGAACTACACTGGTGACGAGGTTGATGGATACGATGAAACTCTTTGTCCAGTGGATTTTGAAACCCAGGGACTGATTGTGGATAATGAGATCAATGCAACTATAGTTAAGCCCCTTCCTCGTGGCGCCAAGCTCCATGCAATCATAGATTCTTGTCATAGTGGAACCGTGCTAGATTTACCATTTTTCTGTAGAATGGACAGGTTCATTATTTATTCCCTTTTTGTTACTCATATTTGATATAAGTTTAGATAATAATAGGATTTGATGTTAGGATTTTTATACTTTGGGATGTAGACACGGGAAGTATGTATGGGAGGACCATCGCCCTCGATCTGGAATGTGGAAAGGCACAAGTGGCGGAGAGGCTATTTCCTTTAGTGCAGGCTGCGATAATTATCAAACATCTGCTGATACTACGGTAAAATATTCTAGGCATATATTTATGCAAGTCATAGTTTTCATTCGATCAAAATGTATATTGTATAGTTTGAGTTAAGAATGGAGATTAATTATAAGGTATACATGATGGACAGGCTCTGTCGAAGATCACATCAACAGGGGCAATGACTTTCTCTTTCATCCAAGCCATTGAGCGTGGACATGGAAGTACCTATGGGAAAATTCTAAACGCGATGCGCTCTACTATTCGTAATGCAGACACTGAGTTTAGTGGCGGTCTTACTCTTGTACCATCTCTAATCAACATGCTTTTAACAGGAGGGAGTGTAAGCAGATTAACACAGGTATATATGTGTAACTATCATCTCTAATCTCTATCAACTGTTATGGAAATTTTATATGAAATTCAACATTTTTATTCTGTCAACACTGGAAATTTTACATTGGAGTTTCAAGTAAGCATGATACCTCAGGAGTTGTGAACAATAATAATTCCAAAGGACTAGAAATTTAACTGTTTCATCTATTAGCCATCAACTCTGCTACCCCAAAACCAACACGTTCACTTCTGACTCTGTACATAAGTGGATTAATCAGAGAATTATGTAAGCGTCCTCTTGCTACTCTTTGGAAAACTTGGGTGTTAACTTTAAGTTGGATGCACTTCATATACATTGGGGATACTAGAACAAATTCTTTTCACCCTCGAATTCGAAAATTCTGAACAGTGAAACTGCAGGCATACGATTTTATTTACAACCAGTGATGGTGCTATATAATGATATAAATCATTGTTTTTATCATAAGAAGTACATCTAGTCTCTTTATGTATTATTGATATGCCTGATGCTCCTGCTATTATATATCTGAACTTGTTCTTGTGTTGGATGCAGGAGCCTCAGTTGACAGCTAATGAACCATTCGATGTGTATACAAAGCCTTTCTCCCTATAAATTAAGTAGTAAAGAAATAATTAATTCCTCAAGCTTATGTTTTATGTTTCAAGCCCCGGAAATAATGTTTAGTGTTATCAACAAAAATTACTTATCAAATTCTGTCTGATAATAATGTCTCTTTTGCTGTTAGATCAGCAGGATACATATTGTTTTGTATTTGGCTCATTTCCTGATATATTTTTCCTTCCAAACAGTTTTGATTCTTCTACTCATTAATCACTTCAAACGGATAAGCATACAAGCTTGCCATGTGAAACAATTTTTAATATTTATTCTTCCGTTTACTTTATTTTATGTATAATAATTTATATAATTTTGTGAAATAGAAAAAAATAGGAAACAGAGAAAATAATAAAACGTGTGCTGAAACTGAACGAAGTGGTTGTGCCAAATCCGAAAGATTGGTCTCATAGTTAAGAAAATTTGTTATCTTTATTGACTTTTTAGGTTTCAAATCATTTTGAAACTATCTACTATATTTATGACTTATCTTTGAACATTAGAAACTCTGAAATTAATGGAAGTAGGCATAAACTAACCTCAAATTATTAAAGAAAAAAAAAAAATTGGTTGTGACCCTGGCACCAATTATTTGAACAGTGACGTGACGTGACAACTGGCTGTGATGAATGACATGGGATAAGTGAACCTTAAACATCTCCAACTACAAACACCAAATTGGTGCAACTTTCACACCAATTTGGTGCAGTTTTTGGTGTATTTCACTATTGCATCTCTAACCTATTGTATCATATATTAAACCAAAATAGATATTAATATTCTTTTTCTTTTTATTAAATCAACAATTAATTATTTCACTTATTTTTTTTGTATATATTAATTAAATATTAAGAATGAAATTTTTATTAAATAATAAAACTTTGAAATATACTAATTTAATAAAAAGAAGCATTTATTTAATCAAATAAAAATTACATTTAATATAAAAAAAAATTACATCTAATATAAAATTCAACAAAAAACAAAAAAAAAAAAAAGCAACACCACCACCACAAAAGTAAAATTCCAAATGAAAAAATTGATTTTGGCAGAATATCAAGAAGATAACAAAAATTTATTCAAGGATTTGAATTCTATAACTGATCCGAGCTTGTTTGAGTTTTTTCAAAATGAGCAAAATCAAGAATTATGCAAAAAAGAGCTTAACAACAAGGTCAAAGATCTCAAAATAGCTCTAATTCTTTCCAATATTTTGACGATCTTAGAGAATTCAAAACTAATCTACCGGAATACCATAAATTGTTATTTTAGTTTATGTTTTATTTTCTTTTAATTTTAATATTTTTAAACTAGTGTTAGTTTATTTTGAGTTATTGTAGTTTAATATTTGCGTTGAATGAAATTTTGTTTTTAATTTTTCATCACTTTTTTAATTATATAATTATTATAAATATTATTATAAATATAGTAAAACCCCTCTATAGTCATAAATCATAATTGTGGGACTACCTAATTTTATTACTATAATGAGATTATAATTTAATGGAGGTGTAGTTACAAAAATTATAGTTTTGATTTCTTATTTTTTAATTCATATTTTAGTAATACAGTATTAGGATTTCAATTCATATTTTAATAGTATTAGAATTTCAATTCAGTGCTTCAATTGCCTACTTTTGAAATTGATAGAAGACTGTGTCTTAGAACCGGCAAAGATAAGTGTCATTGATGAAACTATAAATGTAGTTGATGCATGGTCAATTGATGTGAAACCACAGACAATTGCCAATGGTTTTAAGCATTGCAAAATTAGGACCCCCGATTTCGGTGAATTGCAAGTTACAAATGAAGTGGACGAGAAAAATAAAAGAGTCGTTGCAAAATTGAGTAATCAGATTTGACAATTTCACTACACTAATCGAATGGATATTAATGTCTTCCTCGATTATCCAAATGAGCAACAAATCGTGTATGCTTTAACCGAAGAAAAAATCATTGTTACAATTAGACAAGAAGATGAAGGAAATAATCCTAAGGATGATAGTACGGAAATACAAAAAGTTTCGTGCCATGAAACTCTAAACATGCTTAAGAAACTAAAAATATTTTGGCTTTAACAAGAAGGTGTCCATGTTAGCAAGTTATTACATGCTAGCAAGGTAAAAAATGTGGTAACAACTCTAAAATATAAATCATTGTCCCAAACAACTTTAAATAAATATTTTATTTCATCTTAAATCTTTAATGTAACATAACATATATTTTTTGATAATATATAGATAATTATTACTATGTGGAGGCAACTTTTCTTAAGATGGGAATTAGAAAAATTATAACTTATTACAATGTGAGATTTATTCTTATTTATAATTATCCTAAATTGGGACTAAATTTTTTTATGACTATGTAGAGTTTATTTCTATATAGAATATCACTATAGAGAGGTTTTTCTGTATTAATATAAATAATAATCAAATTAGTATAAATATAAATTAAAAAATTTAATAACAAAAATAAGAAAATAAAATATATTTTGTAGTATATGAATAGTATTGTGAAGAAATACTTTGTTTTTACTTATTCTTTCACAATGAAATGTACAATAAATTTATAGCAAAAACAAAAGACTAATCTAGGAAGTAAATTGTTACATTTATATTATAACTGATCTAATTATTAATAGCTTTGATCCTAACCTAATATAGAAGATAGTCTTTAATGAGAATAATCCTATTTCCTATTTTACACTTCAACACTCCCCCTCAAGCTGGAGCATATAAGTCATATGCACCAAGCTTGTTACAAATAAAATCAACACGAGAACCCTTGAGAGACTTAGTGAGGATGTCTGCTAACTGGTCGTTGGAACTGACATAACTAGTTGCAATACACCCTGATAGAATTTTCTCTCGAACAAAGTGACAATTAATTTCTATGTGTTTAGTCCTCTCATGAAACACTGGATTTGAAGCAATATGAAGGGCAGCTTGATTATCACAGAGTAACTTCATTTGTGATACTTCGACAAATCTCAACTCTTGAATTAGTTGTTTCAACCAAACAAGCTCACAAGTGGCTAAGGTCATTGCACGATACTCTACTTCAGCACTTGACCTTGCAACAACTGCATGTTTCTTACTTTTCCATGAAACTAGGTTTCCTCCAAAAAGGACACAAAAACCTGAGGTAGAACGTCTATCAGATGGAGAACCTGCCCAATCAGCATCTGAATATTCAACAATATGTGAATGGCCCTTATTTTCATACAGTAAGCCTCTACCTAGTGCTCCCTTGATATACCTTAAAATCCGGACAACTGCATCCCAATGACTATCACATGGAGTTTGAAGGAACCAACTTACAACACTGATAGAAAAGGAAATATTTGGTCGTGTGATAGTAAGATAGTTAAGTTTTCCAACAAGTCTTCGATACCTTCTAGGATCAACAAAGGCTCCCCCTATCTAGGTGAAAGTTTTAAATTAGGTTCTATAAGAGAGTCTATTGGTCTACAATCTGACATCCCTCTTTCCTCTAGAATATCCAGTGCATACTTCCTCTGAGAAATAACAATACCAGATTTGGACTGAGCGACTTCTATGCCAAGAAAGTATTTGAGTAGCCCTAAGTCTTTCGTTTGAAAGTGTTTGAACAAGTGTTGCTTCAATTGTCCAATGCCATCTTGATCACTCCCTGTAGTAACAATATCATCGACATAGACAACCAGATAGATACATTGCTCTAGTGATGTATGTCTATAGAAAACAGAATGATCAAACTTACATCGAATCATACCAAACTCTTAGATAACTATACTAAATAGTCCAAACCAAGCACGAGGAGACTGTTTTAGGCCATATAGAGAACGATGAAGTTTACATACCAAACCAGACTCCCCCTGAGCAACAAAACCAAGAGGTTGCTCCATATAAATATCTTTCTGAAGTTCACCATGAATAAAAGCATTCTTAATATCCAATTGATGCATAGGCTAGTGTCGAATGGCAGCCATAGCAAAGAACAACCGAACGGAATACATCTTAGCAACAACAGAAAAAATGTCAAAATAATATGTCCCATAGATCTGAGTGTATCCCTTAGCCACCAAACGGGCTTTCAACCGATCAACCTTACCATTTGGACCAACCTTTACAGTGTAAATCCATTGACAACCAACAATTGAATGGCCCGAAGGTAAAGAAACAAACTCCCAAGTATGATTATGATGCAAAGCAGACATTTCTTCAACCATTGCCTGACGCCACCGGGGGTGAGAAAGTGCCTCATGAACAATGCAAGGAACAGAAACAGAAGAAAGGGTGGATACAAAGGCATAATATGAAGGATATAAACGATGATAACTCAAAAAATTGTAGATGGGATGAGGGTTGCGTGTAGACCGCATACCTTTACGAATAGCAATGGGAAACTGATAAGCTTGAGACAAGACCGTGGCATTGCCTGACGTCACTGGGGTGAGAAAGTGCCTCATGAACAATGCAAGGAACAGAAACAGAAGAAAGGGTGGATACAAAGGCATAATATGAAGGATATAAACGATGATAACTCAAAAAATTGTAGATAGGATGAGGGTTGTGTGTAGACCGCATACCTTTACGAATAGCAATGGGAAACCGATTAGCTTGAGACAAGACCGTGGCATTGGAGGAATCGAGCACAGGACCTGCAGTGATAGGGATCTCAGGAACAGCAGTAAGAACATTAGGATCACCTGTAAAAGGAACAAGACTATTATCAACAGGAAGAGTGGTATTAGTAGTAGACTGAGGTACCAAAATAGACGAAGATGGGAAAGCATTCTATGGAATTGGTAAAACATCTACTATCGGATCAGACTTTAATGTAGGATGAGAAAAAAAGGGAGAAGACTCAAAGAACGTAACATCAGCAGAGATGAAGTAGCGATGTGTGGCAGGAGAATAACACTTGTAGCCCTTCTGAAGACGGGAATACTCTAAGAAAATACACTTCATAGACTTGGCTGACAATTTATCCTGACCAGGAGAGAAAATGTGAACAAAATAGGTGCTCCCAAAGACACGTGGGGGAAGAGAAAATAGTGGATGATCAGGGAATAATATGGAGTGTGGGACCTGGTCTTGTAAGACAGAAGAAGACATGCGATTTATTAAGTAACAAGTGGTCAGAACAGCATCAACCCAATAACGAAAAGGGGCGTGGCTATGTAAAAGAAGAGTGCGAGCAGTTTCAATGAGGTGTCTATTTTTACGCTCAATAATGCCATTCTGTTGGGGACTATAAGCACAAGAAGACTGATGAAGAATTCCCTGAGGTGATATGAATTTAGTAAAGGAATCAGAGAAATATTCACGAGCATTATCACTCCGTAATATACGAATGGTAGTATTATGTTGAGTCTTAATTTTAACACAAAATGATGAAAATATGGAAAATAATTCAGAACGAGATCGCATAAGAAATAACCAAGTGCAACGGGAATAGTTATCAATAAAGGTAACAAAATATTTAAATCCCAAATTAGAGGTAACAGGACAAGGACCCCACACATCTAAATGCACTAACTCAAAGGGGGACGCAGCCCATTTATTGACACGCTTTGGAAAAGAACTACGAGTATATTTTCCAAGTTGACACGACTCACAACTCAAGGACGATAATTTAGATGGACCTGGGATCATTTTCTGAAGTTTGGAAAGACTAGGATGGCCCAAACGATTATGAAGGCGATCCAGAGACTCAGAGATAGTGCATGTTGTAGATGGGATATGGAGATGATAGAGACCCTGTGACTCACGTCCTGTGCTAATCATCCGTCTCGTGTCACGGTCCTGTATAACAACAGAGTCAGTATCAAAATGAATAGAGCAATTTAAAGAGCGTGTAAGTTTACTGACAGACACGAGATTAAAGGGACATTTGGGAATATAAAGCACAGAGTCTAATTCTAAGGAGGGGAGGGGTTTTGCACAACCAATAGCTTGAACATCGGCTTTAGACCCATTAGCTAAAGTAACAAGGGGTAAAGATGCAATATTTGTAATCTGAGTAAGTAAACGAGGGTTACCAGAAATATGATCCGAGGCACCTGAATCCAGGACCCAAGGTCCTAGAGCAGAAGACTGAGTAAGGCAGGCAACTGAATTACCCGTTTGAGCGACGAAGGTAATGGATGAAGAAGACTGCTTACTGGCTTGATACTGTAAGTATTCATCATAATCAGTACCTGTGAGAGTTAAGGAGGGCTGAACCTGCACTGTAGAGGACTCAGAATGAAGATCAGAGTGATCAGCCTGAGCAATATTAGCAGCCTGGGTAGGTCGACCATGTAACTTAAAACATTTCTCTCTGGTATGCCCCCACCGATGATAGTAACTACACTTGGGTCGATTTCCTCTATCACCTTGATCACCCTGTTCTCTTTTAGTAAAAGTGTGGGACTAAGAAACAAGAACCAAAGAGTCACCAGGGGAATGCACTGTACTAGGGGAGGAAACATGAAGTAATCTAGTAAACACTTCATCAAAGGAAGGCACAATAGATCCAGAAAGGATTTGATCTCGAACAGGTGTAAGATTTGGACCTAGAGCTGCAAGTGTCAGGACCATAAAGAACTTGTCCCATTGAGCCAAATCTTCTGCCGCAAATTTACAGCTGGTAACAGCAGATTGAATTCTGTCTTAAGGGAGGCCATCTTACCAAGGAAGTCCGACATATTCATATCATGTTGTTTGAGATGAACTAAGTTGGACACAACATAATATAAACGTTGAATGTCATTTGTATAGAGAAGTTTAGCCTGACTCCAAATATCAACACAAGAGCGGTAAGATTTGTAAATAAGGTGAAGGGGGGGATCAATAGTTTGTCATAACATACTACACAACAGAGCATCAATTTTAGTCCAAGAAGACTTATCTGATGTAATATCGGCAGCCTTGGTGGTCAAGTGATCCTCCAGACCTTGACCCATACACCATAATTCGACAAAGGCAGCCCAGGATCAATAATTAACAGTCCCAATTAATCTCTCAGTGGTGATGGGAGGGAGAGATAAAAAAGAAAACCACTTGGATGTGAGTGAGAGGCTGATGAAGGGGGATCCATGAAGAAGGTCAAAGTGTCTTAAAGCTGACAAAAAAGCAGAAGCTCACGCTCATCGGAAAAACAGAATGCTCACCGAAAAAACAGATCGGAGTAGAAGCTGACGGAAATACCTTGAAGGGTTTTGCCGGCGAGGTGGAGAGGAACAAGATGTTGGTGGCGGTGAGAGCTCACGCTCGCTGGAAAAGCAGATCGGAGCAGAGGCTGACGGAAACACGATTGGCGCGTGAGGGCGAGTGCAGCGGTGGCCGATGACAAAACCACTTGGGTTATGACGACGATGAGAAGACGATCAGTTTGGTGTGATTAGACCAGATCCTGATCGTTGTCGGAGAACAGTCGCCGGAAAAAAAAATTGTCGAGAAAGAGAGAGGAAAAAAAATTTGGAATTTCAGAAACTAAGCTCTGATACCATGTGAAGAAATACTTTGTTTTTACTTATTCTTTCACAATGAAATGTACAATGAATTTATAGCAAAAGCAAAAGACTCATCTAGGAAGTAAATTGTTACATTCCTATTATAACTGATCTAATTCTTAATAGTTTTGATCCTAAACTAATATAGAAGATGGTCTTTAATGAAAATGATCTTATTTCCTATTTCACACTTTAACAAGTATCACACATGGATACTATTGCACCAAATTTGGTATGATGCTATTCATTTACTCCAATTTGGTGTGGGCTGGAACAAAACTTTTACGTCAATTTGGTGTTTTACTCACTTTTACAAGTTACAACAAAGTGATGTTGGGTCGGAGATGCCCTTAAACCGGCAACCAGTTATTTTAGCGAACCAGAAAACAAACCGGTTCAAGAGCAGAGTGTATGAGCACCAGATAAGCTCACCAAGTCAAGACACAGACTCTTTGTTCTCACCACCCAAACAACCTCATGGCCACCACTTCTCACCTCTCTTTTTCTTTCGTCCACCCTCGCATCTCTTCTCCACGTCATCACCACCACCACCTTACCCAGTTGTTCTCAATTCAAGCTCAGAGTCGACTTTCCCTGAAAACAACCACAAGAACTGAGGCTATGGGAAGTGATCTGTTGGGTGATTTTGGAGCCAGAGACCCGTTTCCAGCAGAAGTAGAAAGCGGGTTTGCAGATAAAGTTTTGGGAAATGTTGACACTGAGCACAAGATACTAATTCCAAATTTTTCTGCTCTTTCTCTTGCTCAACAAGACTGCTCTTCCGTGTCTCCTTTGCAGAATCCGATGTCCATAGATGATGCACAGAAGTTGTTGAAGAAGGTTATATTGCTATACTTAAGCCCACTTCTTTTTTTGCATTATAACTCGCCATTCACTAACAAACATTAATAAATTGTATCAATTGTAGTCTGAGTTACATAGTGAAGAAGGAGATGAAAGCTATGTTATTTAGGTCTTTTTAAAGTTAAAACCAGGTGCACCCACTTGCAACTTTCACTTGTTAGGTTCATTAAAAATTTGAAAACTTTTACTCACTTGAGTGAATCATGAAATGTTTTTTTTGGGTTGATAATTAAGTTTTGGTATTTAAAAATTTACCTCCGTTGTCTCTGTGTTGTGAGGTAGTACTTGTTTTCGGTTTTCAAATATGAAAAAACGAAACTCTACACCAATGACGTTGAGGAAGCACTTTATGGTTTCATTTCAATACCGAACTTTCGGTTTCCAATATGAGAATATTACTCTGATGTAATTGCAGTGGGAAAATAAGGGACTGTCAGAATATTTTGCATATGTAATTTGAATTCTGAAACTATGGAATTGGCAAATTCAAGCGAGTAGTTATTTTTTATTTCCTGTAGTGCATACAAAACTACAACAATTAGATATCTGTTGAAGAATTTTTTGTCTTTGAGGAGGAGCCCTCTTTTGATTCCATGTTGAATTTTGAGTTTGGACCCTTGGTTTTGGAGTCTTAATATCTAAAGAGCACTTTTTCCACATTTTCTATTATTTTGCAATTTGGTTCTCATGGAGTCACCCAATAGCTAGGTCACTACATATATATATAGAGATTGATCTTTGATCAAACTCAACAGACAATTTCCTATTTATCTCAACTTAAAAGGCTATGTTTGAACTGTCAAATTCTTAAGGGAAAATCAGTTGGTACGTAACATATTGTTTTTGATAGAATCTCTGGTGTTGTCTCATGTTCCAATATATAATTTTTTTTTACTAAGATAAGTTGCGTCAAAACTTTCTTTTGGGCTGTATCGGCTATGCTGCAATGAGATCAAATAATTCTCGAACTGCACCAACAAGTCTTCTTGAATGTGCATCAATGGCTTCAGTCTTGAATAGAATGGTGTAAGGATTTTTTTTTTTTTTTTTTGGGTTTCAGTTGTTAAAAAGAAAAAAACTTTTATTGTAGGTTATTGGCTGGAGACTTTTGGAGGAAGAGGATGGACTTAAACTTCAATGCTTGTGGAAGTTGAGAGATTTTAAATGTGGGGTTGAACTCGTGAATAGAATATACAGGGTTACAGAACCTACAGGCCATTTCCCAAATCTCCACTTGGAACAGCCAAATCAAGTTAGAGCTGTATTATGGACGTCTTCCATTGGTAAACTTTCTAGTTTCAAAGTTTTCACCAAGTTCTGTTTCTGATTATAATTGCTTTAGGCGTTTTTTTTTCAAAGTAATTGTGCTCTGGTAATCACACAGAGGCTGCTACTCTCTTTATATTGCATATATTCTTATACAGTCGTTTAAAAGTTTTCATTTACTTGCAGGAGGCTTGAGCATGAATGATTTCATTGTAGCTGCCAAAATAGATGAAATAAAAACCTCAGATCTTGTTCCACGAAAAAGAATTTGGGCATAGGTGGACCATAATATTTCTTCCAAGAATAAACTCTCGTCTGTCTGCTCTTGAGGTCTTTTTCAGCAATGCGTGTGCCACAATTTTTATGAGAACAATATTTTTCATCCCATTCTTACTCTATAAATGGGTCCATTTATTTATTTGTTTTATGATTATATTATTTTCACTTGTTTCTCCATTAATTTTACCACTTCTAACTACTCCTCTCTTTGTTACGTTTCACTTCACCAAATGATCAATTATTTAGTTCCAAGTTTGTAGACACTGATTATCATCTTGTGCCAAGGGAATCTGGAGAAATACATAGATTTCTTCTAAAACTTTAAAGTTCCATCTGGTTGAAAATTGATATGTCAAGCTGCTTATTCTAATTTCTAATATACCCATATATAATATAATTGCAAACGTAGAAATTCTACAACCCAGAATCGAAAATATATCTGGTGAAATACCAAAATTGAATTCCTTAAACTGTACTCCTACAAAAGTTTTAACTCAGAAACTCAATGTTCCAAGTTTATTATGACATAACCAAGCTTGTTAGCTTGTAGTACATGGTGATTTATTATAACATAACCAAGCTTGTAGTACACAGTGATATTATAGTCACAAAAAGGCAAAACACCAAGGATAAACCAACGAAGTTAGCTTCAGCAGAATGGTGACATTATGAGCACATTATTGCGACACACCCCTAGAATCTTCCACTAAGATTATTTTAGTTAAAACTTCAGCGTACTACTCCTACATGTACTGCACTTGTGTAGTACCCACCCATTACTAAACGGCAGTACCAAGGTCCAGTACAGTCCTAAAATCTAAGTACTTTGAAAGTTGAAAGTCTTGAACCCAGTACACTTTCTATTCTCAAATTGGTGGAAACATTCAAGGATGGCTTCCTTAGCTACTAGGCCTATTGCATTTACTTTCCCATGCCAAGGTGACCCAATCGGATTCCGCTGCTTAGTATGTTACGCTCTCTATCTGTTTTTAACATGGATTTTATCTCAGGACTTGGTGGGTGCACTCCAGGCTTGCAGTTTCAGTGGACAAACAAAAAGGTTTCTTCTTATCTAGTTTTATTTCATTGCGTAATTTATGAGAACCAACATGTAGAGGTGGTGTTCGATGAAATGCTTTATTAAGAATGCTATATTGCTATGTTAGATGGTGCCGAGAAAATGTGCAAGGAAGGCTGGTTCCACTAAAATTTGCGCTAAATTTGAGCTGAAGCCGCCTCCATATCCAATGGTAAGCTATTTGTCAGTATGGCTGATGTCAGCTCTTCAATAATACACAGTCGGCAATGCATAAACTTTAAAAGTATTAACATTTTACATTTAGAAAATCCATCAAGTGTTAATTACAAAACTTTCAATTGTCTTTTGGTTTCATTGGTCTATATTTTTGTTGAGTCAAGTGATATGTATAGATAAGGCTGGTTTTATGGGCGTTTTTTTAAGAAACTAAGAGAAATAATGCAAGAGAGGTTACTTAAGCCCCTGGAAACAAGCATCTTCTTGGTGTTTTTTTTAAGTTAGATGTGGGTTGCAGGATGCTCTTGAGCCACATATGAGTCGGGAGACCCTGGAGTATCATTGGGGAAAGCACCACAGAGCTTATGTGGAAAACCTGAACAAGCAAATCGTAGGAACAGAGCTAGATGGAATGTCGTTAGGAGACATTGTAATTGTTTCTTATAATAATGGTGACATGCTTCCAGCTTTTAACAATGCTGCACAGGTATGCGATGCATCTTTGTATCATTTAGATATAGAATTTGATCCTTTAATATCAAGCATATGAATGGATTATCTCGGAGATCACAAATTAAATGAACTTATTTGATAAAAACCTTAATTTCTCCTTTAGCTGGAAGTCATTTCATGTCTTCAATTTCGATTCTGATGCTTCCATAATGTTTAAATAGTTGTTTTACTACTTCTCAGGCCTGGAACCATGAATTCTTTTGGGAATCCATGAAACCGAGCGGTGGAGGAAAGCCATCTGGTGAACTTTTACAATTGATCGAAAGAGATTTTGGTTCTTTTGAAAAATTTCTGAAGGAATTTAAGTCAGCTGCAGCCACACAGTTTGGTTCTGGTTGGGCTTGGCTTGCTTGTGAGTGATCTTCCTACCGATGTTCTTCTTTTCATGTTTTACAAGTTGTGCTGACATTTTCTTCGTGTTGTGATTTTAATCCAGACAAAGCAAATAGACTAAATGTCGACAATGCCGTAAATCCTCTTCCATCAGAAGAGGACAAAAAGCTTGTAGTAGTGAAGAGTCCCAATGCTGTGAATCCACTTGTCTGGGATTATTTTGTGAGTACATTTGACTTGAGTACAAAATCTCTGGTTCGTGTTTAATATATGATAGGAACCCACTCCAATAACTCAACAATTTGGGCTGGGCCATGGGTCTTTCATGGGCTTGGGTAGAACTCTCTTTGGAAAACCGGCTTGCCAATGAAGGGTGCTCAAGCCTTTATAACCCACATGCCCACCCTTTTTCTTTTCAATGTGGGATCCTAACATTCCACCACGCTTCCGCAACCGATGTCCACGTCGGCCTCTTTACCCCTTGGGTGACTACGCGGATCCCCTTTCCCTCGGGCCTCTATGCCCTTTCTCGGGATAGCAGCCCGAGCCCAAGGCCAGCCTGCCACGTATGCGCTGCCACATAGGCGCAGGATCATGCTCTGATACCAATTGATAGGAACCCATTCCAATAACTCAACAATTTGGGTTGGACCACGAGTCTTTCATGGGTTTGGGTAGAACTCTTCTTGGAAAACCGGCTTGCTAAGGGAGGGTGCCCAAGCCTTTATAACCCACATGCCCACCATTTTTCCTTTCTATGTGGGATCCTAACAATATACAAAGACGTAATTTACATTGGTAGTAAAACTTTTGTCTTGTCTGTTTTAATTTTTTGTTCTCTATACATCTGATCTTATGGTTGTTAATTTCTTGCAGCCACTCCTTACTATTGATGTTTGGGAGGTAAACATTTTCATCGTCTTTTATTGATTGAAAAATGAAGTCAATATATAAACTTCTTTGTGTGAACATATCCAAATTATCTGATTACTAATTCTACAATGGAATCTGTTTTTTTTTTCTTTTTTCTCAACAGCATGCATATTACCTCGATTTTCAGGTGAGACATGGTCGATGAGATATGCAATTAGCTTTCAAATTTGTGAGAAATTCATTTATTACTACTTAAAGTGGAGTCTAACAGCTGCCATATTATTTCCCTGTAGAATCGCCGACCTGATTACATTTCAATTTTTATGGACAAGCTTGTATCATGGGAAGCTGTCAGTCGTAGACTTGAAATAGCAAAGGCTCTACTTGTTGAGAGAGAAAAGGAAGAAGCGAGGAAGGAAAGAGAAGAAGAGGATGAGGAAATGGCAGACGATGAAGCTGTAAAGATGTATGTAGAGAGTGATGGTGATGACCCAGAGAATGATTGAATTAGAACCACTTTTGCAGTAATAGGAGTGTTAGGACAGTAGAGATTTTCTTATTTCGTTTTGTCTTATCTTTCACTTAGAAGAGATCAGTTTGAGCGGCATAGTGTAAAGGTGTTTTATCCATCCGTGTATGTATCAACTGTGTAGTGCCATAAATTAAATTAAAAAAAAAAAAAAAATAGCCTTCTACAACTGAGAACAAGATAAGCGCTTAAGTTTGTGTGTCTGCAAAATATATTCTAGGTTCAGAAGGTAATGCCGATGAGAGTATACAAAGAATCAAAAGCTGAAAGCGAAAGAGTATAGGACTGGTTATTATTTTTTAATCAAAATTTTCGCATGTGGCTTGCGCTATTTTCATCCATTCTAACGGCTACTACTAAAATATATCTACTGACATATACAGCAAAAAAAAGAAAAGAGATGCCGTGTTCTCAAGTTTCTGTACAATGAAGTAGATAAATAAAAAAGGGTGATGGAAAATATTAAGCTTGTAACAAAATTGATTCTTCCATTTCTCGTCATCTTATGGGGGATGTCTTTAGAGAGAGAAGGCTGTCAAGATATGAAACGTTTGGATCTTTGGAAGGTGGTCCGAAAATCTCCCAGAATCGAATAGTCTCATCTGCCCCAGCTGATACCACAGTTAGGCCATCAGGGCTCTGAAAAATATTCATGATTGATCAAGGAACTCAGCTACATTTATTTATTTTAAGAATATAATCTACTGGCCTCTAAAATTAAGTTTGGATAGTCAAACCTGGGAAAGCTCAAGGACTCTGGAGCTTTGTCTAGGGGTTTCAGGCTTTAATTCCCCAACTTTAGCCATGGAAGGGTATTTCCACAAGCATAGTTTGTTTTCATTTCTGCTTCTACTGAAGCCATGTCCACTCAATATCTCTTTGTGATGCCTGTTCCACTCTAGTCCACAAATCTGCATGCGTAAACACCAATTTACCAAAAATCACATAAAATCTGAAACTTGACAAGGATTGATGGGCTATCTGAAATCAAACTTTTTTTTAAAAAGAACAATTAGTTTGGGAAATGGGATAAATTTATAATGACAGAAATCAAATTTTAAAAGGAATTATTTTGAGTTTTTTCTAGTGATCGATTGCTAAGAGACATTCTGGGGTTTCATTAAAACAGAAGAAGAAGAAGAAGAAATTTCAGCCTATGCAAAACTCAAAAGAAAGAGTAAATTATTTCACTTGCCTGTGCTTTGGTATCTACACTGCAGATGCATGTCCCTTTTTGTACATTCCATATCTTAATTCGCCCATCTGCTGTGCCTCCTCCAGAGGCAAGTACATTAAATTGGTACGGGCACCATGCAAGGGCCTTGACTGCGGCACTATGTTCATTAAACTGGTACAAGAATTTGGACGAACTCATTTTGGAAGGCTCCCATATGTATACCAGATTATCATTACCACCGCTTGCCAGAACATTGCCTTCTGTAGACCATTTAACTCCACACACTTCTTCAGTGTGCGCTATTATGCATGAAGTCACATTGTTTGACACTCTAACTGCCAATGAAAGCATGAGAAATATAATAAAAGTCAGTATCTGAATGAATAGAAATTACAATAGTTGAAGATGAAAAGAATGTGGATTTCCTTTAAAGATATGATGAAATTCGAGTACCATCATGATTGATAATGGATTTATCTAGGCCTGCTGATGTTAAAATGTGACCATTCCATTGGTTCCATGACACAGTTGTTACTCTTCTAAGGTGACCTTCGAGGTTCCTAACCTGCATTTCAAAAAATAAGTTTTAACACATTACGAGCCCAGAACAACTGATTGACATGACGGCAGAAAGAGTGACTGAAGAGAGGAGAGGTTTACAAGTTTTGAGGTCTCGGCATCCCAGATCTGAATTTCGGAGCCCATATATCCAACAGCCAGATTTCTAGCATCCTGAGACCAGACCAAACTTGTCGGGTAATTTTCCTCCCCAAGAGATTCTGACAACTTTTGAACATCTCCATTCTCCGATTTCCAAAGATATAGCACCGAGCCCAAAGCAATAGCAAGCATGTTGTTTTTCCCCCAATCCATGATGTTCAGATAAAAATCATTCCTTAGATTAGGTGCATCCAGGATCTTAGCTTCTTTCTACAAACACCATTAATCAAATTATCTAAGTAAGCAGCATAAAATTCATGTCATTAAGTACAAAGTAAGGACCCAAAATGCAAAGGATAGTTGAGAGTAATTTTTTTTTCTTTCTTTGTTTCCCATTTATTTCAAAAAAATAAAATAAAAACCTGTTCAGAAAAGTTGAATCCGAAAATTATTCAGAAAGCATATTGATAGATCTCGGTGATCAAAACAACTGGCTGGTTACTGTTATCTCTATAACAATAATCGATTAGAAGAGGTTCAAAACTGAGACTAGTTACCTTGGGCATGCCTCGATGTTGATATAGCTGGGTACTATTTCGCAGTGCCTCGGCATCTTCCCTTCTCATCTCATCAATAAGACGGTTGGACTTTCTACTTGATTTTGGACTTCCCCTGAAAACCAACATTTTAAACGGTCTGCCTTCTGAATCCAAAGTCAGATTATCCTCCAGATTCTGTCTATATGCATCCTGTTAACAGAAATATAATACAGAATCATAAACCTTAACCCTGAATGTAATTCTGTTTTTTGAATGTCAACACATCATTTATTGACAACCTAAAAGCCCAGTACAAATTTCTACCTATTTTTCATGCCACAAACTAGAATCCCTAACACAATCAATGTAACACAACGGAAATATTATTATAATTTTTTACCGGAAAAATAAAACCTGAATTTCCCTCAAATCTGAATCTCAACAAAAGTCAATAGTTATTCATGAATTTCCCCCCCAATTTTAAAAAAAAAATAATAATAATCCGAAAACCAAACACAATAGAAACACCTACACCCAGGGAACAACATATCTACTGATAAACTAATTATATCACAAGTGAAACTAAAAAAACAGCAACAACAGTGAAATAAAGAAAGAAAATTACATTGAATTTTGGATTTTGGCATCGCTTAATTGTTTTGTTGGTCAACAAAGCGTGAGCTTGATCAAGATTCATCAAACTTCTGTTGGGTATAAAGCGATCTCCCTTTCGCAAATAACCAAAAGGCCAAAGAACAAGAAAACAATAAAATTTTGAATAAAAAAGTAATAAATAAAAGATTCTTGAAGAAATTAGAACAAAGAAAGATTGGAATATGGTTGTTTTGTACCGGAAAATCGAAATCGGTGGGGCTACTGAGGAGTCTTCGAGGAGAGTACCAATCTGTTTCAACGAGTCTGTGTAGTCTCGTTTGATGATCCATGGAGAGACAGAAACCAGGAACGCAAGCTCAAATTCTTGCTTTTCTTCTTGTTCAAGTAACCATTCGGTTTTCTCCCGCCAAAGAGCTAACCGACTAACCGTTGTATTTCATATTTTATAACGTTCAAGAATCGGCGCAATAGTGCTTTCTAGTTGGCCCGAATTTTATTTAATTTCGACTCGGGTCGGGATATGTTAACCTTCAAATTTCATTATAAAAACCTTTATTTTAGTAAGTAATTGACAAGGGCAATTCCCTTACTTTTTTTTTTTTTTTTTTAATTTAAAATGTACATGTTTTGAATTAAATTTCACTAATAAAGAAATTACTAGAAAAGTTGGTCACATATAATGTGTAACAAATAATCTAATGGTTAAATAAAAACTGATCATATATAATGTATAACAAGTAATCTAACGGTTAAGTGTACACGATAATACATTATCCCATCAATGCAATAGTTGGTATTATAATAATCTCTCAAGGCCCTATACGAATATTATGTTGAGGACAATGCCACAATCATGAATATTAATTTGCTTATGATGGAGCATAATAAGTTAACTAGCTCCAAAATAATTTAAATAATAAATCCTATATCTCTATGCTAGCTGAATATCCATTGATTTCCAAGATTGAAACATCACTTTTTAATGCTCATTGAAGGCTCTACATGATCTTCTAATCTCTCCTTGACTACCAGTAAGAACCTCAATAGCTCCAAGTTTAACCATGGCAGCGCCGAACCGGGACGGGAAATCAAACCCTTTGGTGGCTAAGGTCATCACTGTACCCCTTGTTAATGGGTGTAATGCTAACTCTTGATCAATCGGAAGAATGCCTCTCTTTAACAATAACCGCTGATAGTATGAGTTGTCCATGAATGGATTCTGATCAAGATTAACTATATTGTTTGTCGGTGTGTTTTGAGGACAACGAAGTCTGAGTAAATTTAGAAGAAAAGGATCCATGGTTGGATCAGGTCTACCGGTGTGTCTGAAATTGTAAAGGCGATCTTTTAAGAGTGAGCAATGAACTACTCCAACAGAATGAGCACCTGCATTACAAAGTTCATGACAAATATCAGTGTATGTTATACATGAATATTGATGTGGGTAAAAGAATTATGTACCTAGAACAAGAACCATGTCAGTCGGAGTGAGGCCTTTGTTAGCGAATAAGGCGATGGAGTGAGAGACTGAAGCTAAAGGTGGTGGGAGAAAGAGAGACACATTTTGAGGTAGAGAGACTAAACCATCTCTTCTTCCTGTTTGCACTTCATATCTTACTCCTAAACTCTGCAATTAATTCAATTGCTATTACAAATCGTTAACTGCACTAAAAATAAATAATATTGTGTTAATTGTGCAGGATTGAATTGAAGAGGGAGTGATTACCAAGAAAACAGCATCTCTAGTAGCAATTATAATAAGATCAGCACAAGAGACCACCCCTAGGCAAATTCTATCAACAGCGGCCTTGGCGTCATCTATAATATTAAAACCTCTTACGCTCAGATTTGGAGGAGCTGTTTTCTCACTGTTGCTGCCGACTACCAGAATTGATGCATCACACCCCTTTTTCATCATCATTCCCACAAACATATTTATTTTATTAATTGATTATTGAGATCTAATAATGCATGTGACAATCAGGCATATGACCATATAAATGATCTATGATACTCATCATACTAAAATGCTTAAAATATATCCCACAGAAAAAGAGGAGAAAGAGGTAAAAGAAAATAGATACTGAAACTTATGCGTATCCACACAAAGAATGTTGTCAACCAATAAAACATCTAAACTCTGAAGCTAGCGCTGTGTTGACTAACAGAAGTTGATGAGCTAATCTGTTAACAGAGAGATTTAATTTTAATGAAATTACAGAAAGTGGAAGCTTACATTGACAAAGCAATCGTGATATTGCAAACGCAAGAGTGCAGCCACAATAGTGGGATCTCTAACGAACCTTGCAGTGACGACGCCGGCCACTATGGCTTCAACATCTGCAATTCCACATTTCCCTCTGTAAAATCCTATCTGTAATGCACCTTCACACCAATCTCCCCATGCCCAGTTTGATAAAATGAATACCAAACTAGATGAAATCACAGCTGCTTTGCTCTTCATCTTCCTCTTTTCTGTTATCTACAGAGTGGAGACATGATCATCTCGCTGATTTATTTTTGAGAGAAGTGGTTTCCTGTACAGATGGAAATTAGGAGAAAACTGATTTAACATTTCCTTATTTATATTATCATGTAAATTTTTTATTTAGGCATGATTCTCTTGTGCACTTTCAATTTGTTTAAACTTTAAAGAGGTCTTGCTCCGCAACCGAGTGCCTAGAACAAAGTTTAGCCTGTCAAGAAATGTCCCACTTGGTTAATATAAAAATTATAAATTATGTGTTTTTATGCACCTTATGGTCTATTCCGAAAACCAAAATAACCTCTGACAGCCAGTACCTCACTTATTTCTACCCTGTTGAATGATCAAACACAAAACCTAGAAGGTGAAATAAATATTTACATACATAGATCGGCTTTTTAGTGGGTCATAATATCCTGAACATAAACTCAAAAGTAGTGGCAGAGAATTTTTAAATTCCCAGATAAAAATAATAGAGTTAGCAATAATTACAGCTAGCCACAACCATTCCTAATTGAATTATTTTATACATGTACGTGGAATGATGGGCCGGTAAAACAGAAGACGAAGGATCATCTTTTCAATTATACAACTCAGCGTACACAATAGCATCAGCAAAACCATGCAAATCAGAGGATGCATTCTGATTACTCACATCAATTAATGCCGGGTTGATCAGACCCAGGAAATATGATGGCGGCTTATACAAGCCATCAACACCTTGGCCGCAGGTTGCCCAATTACCCTGTCAGTATAAGCTGCATCCCCGACATTCTGCCATCCATAATTTGATGAAACACTGCCACACATCATTTGCCCAACCGTGTCCTCTTAACTTCTCTCTATGAACACCACCAAACGAACATGCGGTGGAGGGGAGGACACTACTGCCAGAAGACAAACCAACTTCAACTCCAACTGCATGCATAGTGCCTCCACTTGCTACCGTAGTGCCAAGAGCATCAGGCAAAGGCCCTACTTCATATCCGTGCGACGCAGCTGAGGCAGCAAATGATTATTGAAGTAGCTGGAGAAACCGCCTTAAGTGCTGCACATGCTCCACTCGGGGTTTGCTATACACCACTATGTCATCCAAGTAGACAACCACAAATCGGTTGCGGTAGGGATGGAATATCTTGTTCATCAAAGTGTAAAAAGTGGCTAGTGCATTTGTTAGACCAAATGGCATAACTAAGAATTCATAAGATCCATACCTTATAACACGTGGTTTTCGGCTCATCCCCTTCGCCTATGCGCACTTGGTAGTAAGCTGACCGCAGATCCAATTTGGTGAAGTAGTGGGCATGCTTCAGCTAATCGAAAAGATCGACAATCAAAGGAATAGGACAACTATTTTTCACGGTTACCTTGTTGAGTGTTCAGTAGACTATGCACATGCGCAAGGAACCATCCTTCTTCCTTTGAAATAAGATTGGTGTACCATAGGGAGCTTTGGAGGGCCTAATGAACCCTGCATCTAGTAGTTCCCGCAACTGCCTCCTTAGTTCTGCTAGCTCTAGTGGTGCCATGCAATAAGGACTCCTGGTAGGTGGCTTGACACTTGGTTCCAGCTCAATTTGGTGGTCTACCTCCCTTCTAGATGGTAATTCATTTGGCAGCTCATTTGGTGAGACATCAGCGAACTCCTCGAGTACTTTTGCTACCTCCCGTGGCCCTGACTCTGGCGGGCTTGGCTCCTCGTCGTCAGAGTGCTTGAGCATGGCCAAGTAGCTTTCCTCTTTCTTCTTGATGCCTTTCTTGAACTGCACAATCACGAGTATGGTCGTCTCCGGCTTGGTAGAGTGGCTAGTGGGCAATACACAAGCTTGCTCCCCGTCCATGATGCACATGGTATTGGCGGAAGGCATGGGAAATGCCTTGACTTGATCCATAAACTCCAACCCAAGGACAACCTGGTAGTCATCCATTGGAGTGACTAAGAAGTCTATGTAATCGGACCAAGTCCCCATAGTGGCTTTGACTCATTGAGCTATTCTATGGATTGGCTGTGCCACTAAGTTGACTGTCTTGATGGTGCCCTCACCTCTTGAGGCTTTAAGGTCTAGCCGGTGTGCTTCACTCACTGAAACAAAGTTGTGCGAAGCCCTCTTATCTACCATGGTTTTCGTGGCCTTCCCATTGATAGCATTATCAACTTAAAGTAACCCTTTGGCTTGCGTTTTTGGTGCTGATTGGATCCCATTGATTAGTTACATCGATCCCATATGTGCCCTATTTCTACTGCTTTTGGCTTGATTACCCTCTTGATGCTTAGCTATGAGGGAAGTAAGAGCTTTCTTCTCTGGACAATTTTTCACCTAATGAGATCCATTACAAATGAAGCAAATGTTGTGGGGTTTGTTAGAGTTCTTGTCCCAACGTTTGCCATTGTCCTTGCCTTTGGATGAGGTGCTGTCCTGTGGGTGTCCCAACTATTCTCTTTGGATTGCCTTTTGTCTCCCACACCTTTAGCAAAGCCGCCATTCTTATCTTTGGGTTTCCTTGTGGATTCTTTTGAGCTATTATAGTCTATCAAGCTTTCTTCAATCTCTATGGCTGTCGCAAGGTCTTGGACTCCTCGGCGCCTCAGCTCTGTTTTCACCCACGATTGCAACCCATCCATAAAGTTGAAGAGCGAGTCTTTGTCGAACATATCAGGGATCTCCAATATCAAGTTGGTGAAGTCTTTAATATAGTCATGGATAATCTTGTTTGCTTGAGCCTTCGTAAACATGCTCTTGCCTCATCCTCGTCATTCTCCGAAAAAAATTGTTGCTTAAGCTCTCTCTTGAGGTCATCAAAGCTCGAGATGGTGCACATACCTTTCTCGATGTCTCTTTCTCTTCTCCTCCACCGTAACCTTGCGATATCAGTGAGATAGAGAACTTTAGTTTCTATCTTGGAGATCTCCTCCGTGACACCTACAGCCCGAAAATACTTGTCTAGTTCCCACAAGAAGTTGTCAACTTCATGTACCTTGCATGAGCCACCAAAGCTTTTAAGCTTTGGAACATCAATCCTCTGGCTTTCAATGGCGCTGCTATTGGGCCTTGCAACTATTGCGCACTTGCTTCTCGTTATATCAGCTTGCACGTCATCTAAGCGAACAAGAGTGATGTTGATTTCAATCTGGAACACATGACATGTTTTAGCGATCTCCCTCATGAACTTCTCACGGATTTTCCCCATCTTGGTCCTCAATTACTCCTCCAATTGGACCATCATGGCTTTCACCACAGTATGGATTTTGGTAAACTCCGTCTCTAGATCATCCACGTGATGATCTAGCTCATCTGATTGTGTGCTCATCCTTTCCTTCACACGAGATAGGCATGAGTCAAGACTAGAAATAAAGTCTTTGGACTTACCTTTCTATCTTGAGGGGTTGGGGTTGGGGTCAGGGTTGACTTTCTCTGAACAACCAAGTTCTTGGGAAGTCTTAATTTCAGATGTCTTGGATCTCTTTGTTGCAGCGACAATATCTTTTGCCATTATATAACAACCGATGTTATATCAACCAAGGCTCTGATACCACTTGTCACACCCTTAGTTTTTTTGGCTAAGTTCGTATAGCCTTAACACTAGGAGAAGGTGTTAAGCAACCTTACACTTACACAAACTCAAAGACTAGAAGCAATGAAAATGAGCAAGATAAGAATATAGAGAAAATTGTAAACTCTATATTGCTGAAAATTTGTATCCTACACATTATGAATTGCACAAAGTGGAGTGTCCTATTTATGGGCAAAACCTCCTCAAGCAAATGTCTATGTACATTGAATGCTTTATGCCTAAGTTATGCTAGTTGGCAATCTTGAAATTAGTGATGCTTAACCATGAAGCTCCTTTGCTATGAATTTTGCTTAACTATGAAGCTCCTTTGTCATAAAGTTTGCTTAACCATGAACTTGCTTAACATTGAAGCTCATTGGTGATAAAGTTCCTTCACCTTGAAGGTCCTTAGCCTTGAAGCAAGGATGGTTGCTTAGTTATGAAGGAGTTGATAACCTCCTTGGAGCTTTCTTCTCCATGAAGAACTCCTTAGCAGCTTGTAGGAAGCTATTGTGTCAGCTGCCTACAACATCGTGTACGTTGCTTGGGTTGTCAAGCAGGTTGGTTGTGACATTATGCTACAATAGCCAAATATATAGGCAGGAGAGGTAGTATCAATATTTGGTAAAATCTATTATTGCTTCTGCTCTCTCTCCTTTATCTTCTAAAATTTGTTCCTTACTGTCAGTTTCAGTATTATCAAATCATGTTTCTAACTATAATCATCATATAGAACACAATTTTTTTTTTTGTCATTCCTTAGACAAACTGATGGAACAAGCTGAGATTACTCAATCAATTCCACATTCAATTAATCACAACAATCCGAAATCAATCAAGGATCAAAATACAAACAAAGATTGACTCAATTGTAATTATGGTTGTATTAAGGATCTGTAAACTGTACTACAATGAAAGTAAATGTAAAATAGTATTAAGAACAGCAATAAAGAAATTAGCATAGGCTGATCTTCAAGGGTCAACTTCTCCTAACAATTTCCACTATGTTCTCTATGATATCACACCTATTCTCTCTCATTTCCTTTTATTCCCTTGATTATTTTGTTAACTAACTCTTCATGCTTGTTGTACCGCTGCTCCACCTGTCATGCGTGGCTTTTCCCTTTCAGCCCCTTGCGGTTATACCATTTGATTGTCGGGAGTCCATCATTACCCTCTTCAAGAAGTGCCACCTTGTCCTCAAGGTGGAAAGAAGGGAATTGGCGACATATGGAGGCATAATCCTCCCAAGTGTTGTCACAATGGAGAAGTGATTTCCACTTGATCAATACTTCATAGCTACCATTGAGCAGGCGTTGTACGCAAGGCCTGTTTAGGTTCAACTTGCAAAACCATGTCACTTGTGAGGATGTCAGGAAGGAGCTAGGCTACAAGGGGTGTGGAAGTGGCTCTTTTCAACTGAAAGACATGAAAAACATCATGTATGCGGGCTGTGGAAGGTAGGGTAAGGCAATAAGCAACCTAACCAACTTTTGCAAAGATGGGAAAGGGTCCGTACAAGCGGGAATTGAGCTTCTCATTGACTTGACGGACTAGGGACTTAAGGCGGTAAGGCTGGAATTTTAAGTAGACAAAGTCCCTTATGGCAAAGTGAACTTCTCGCCTTTTACCATCGACATATTGTTTCATTTTTTTGGGGGCTTTAGTGAGATTCAGCTTTAAGTCATCCAAAATGGTATTGCGTTCCGCCAGTTGTTGATCCACAACTAAAGATTTTTCACTGTATTTCAAAAGGATGAGAGGGTCCTGGCCATAAAGAGCCTTAAAATAGGTCATTCCCGAAGAACGGTTATAAGTGGTATTAAACCAATACTCCGCCTAAGTCACCCATTTGGGCCAATGATAAGGTTAATGACCTACAAAACAACGGAGATAAGTTTTGACACAACGATTGACAACTTCCGATTGACCATCCATTTGAGGGTGATAGGTTGTGCTCATGTGGAGTTGTGTCCCGGACTGTTTAAATATTTCTCCCTAGAAAAGGCTCATGAAAACTCTACCTCGTTCGAAGACAATAGTGCGGGGAAAGCCATGCAACCTGACAATTTCTTTAAGGAACAGGTTGGTGACTTCTTGAGTTGTATAAGGATGACGCAAGGGAAGCAAATGGCTATACTTCGTAGATCCACCACGACCAAAATAGTATCCACTCGATGAGCCTTAGGAAGTCCTCCAATAAAATCCATGGATACGTCCTCCCAAACCTAAGAGGAGATAGGCAGAGGTTGTAAAAGGCCTGCGGGTTGGAATGCATCGTATTTATTCTGTTGGTAAATGAAACAAGCCTTAACATAAGCTTGGACATCCTGCCTCATGCCTTCCCAAAATATCACTTGCGTCAATCTCTTGTAAGTACGAAAATAACTAGAATGACCTCCTGTGGGGGAGGAGTAAAATTCCTGCATAAGCTATTGCACTTGGAAACTAGATTTGGGCAAAACAAGGCGATCGTCATAGTAGAGTAAGGAACCAACTAACCTAAAATGTGAATGACTAGAAGGATCAGTAATCAGGTCTTGACAAATTTTTTGCAGTTTGCTGTCTCGCTGAATGACATCTACCCACTCTTCTTTTTTGGCAAAGTAACAGACCGAAATGGCAATACACTTGACAGTTCCATCACGTCTAGATAAGGCATCAGCGACTTTATTCTCTAACCCTGGTTTGTATTGTATCTCATAGTCCAACCCGAGCAACTTGATTATCCATTTGTATTGTTCTTCGTCCTATAACCTTTGCTCATTTAGATAGTGGAGGCTCCGTTGATCGGTCCTAATGATGAAACGTCATCCCAATAAGTAATGTCGCCATTTCTGCACGGCTAGAACCACCACCAGCAGCTCTCTCTCATAAACCGATCGAAGCTGTGAGCTATTGGAAAGACCTTGACTCAAAAATGTTAGGGGCCTATCTTCTTGCATTAGGATAGCCCTGATGCCATATCCTGAAGCATCCATCTCAATGATGAAAGTCTTTGAGAAGTCTAGCATTACAAGGACTAGGACAGTAGTCATAACACATTGCAGCTCTTTAAAAGCTTTCTGTGATAATTCAATCCAAATAAAGAAATCCTTGCGGAGAAGATTGGTTAAAGGTAAGGCGATTTTCCCATATCCATTGACGAACTTCCGATAGTATCCGATTAGTCTTAGAAATTCGCGGAGGGCTTTGACATCCTTTGGGATAGGCCACTTCAGTATGCATTCCACCTTGGAAGGGTCAACAACAATACCTTGACTGGAAATGATGTGACCTAAGTATTCCAACTGAGACTACCCAAAGGAGTATTTTTTTTTTTTTTTTTTTTTGTTAACCACGAACTGATGGTCGAGTAATATCTGAAATGTGAGCCTCAAATGGTACAAATGTGTCTCCAGGTTAATGCAATAAACCA